CCCGGTCAGCCTCGGTCTCTGCCCTCGAGCACTTCCCAACAGAGCTGTCTCTGCTAACTCCCTAAATTCATCTGCTCTCGCCAATCCTTCCCTACATTGTTCCTAGAATTAGTTCAGGTAGTCAATATTGCATCACAACACCTTTCCAGTCTTCGACGAACTTACATGTTCCAGGGGTGACTTCCCGCAATCGCAACCATGGCTCTGTACAACCAAACTGTGGATTTCATCTCCGGTGCCTTCTCGAACAAGCAGACTCAACTCCCCTTGCTAGCTGTGACTGGAGCTTCATTCACACTTGGTCTACTCGCTCGATCTGTTTTTCCTCGAGGCGAATCGCTCCAGACTGTTCTTGTCTCGCCTCGAACGACAGTGTTGCCCGGCATATCCGAGTCGGAGAATCGCCAACTGCCTCTCCCGGCTGATGTTCTGCCCGGTGCTCGTGATGTCGCTAGCCCGTACGGGTCAATTCGAGTGTATGAATGGGGGCCGGAAGATGGACCCAAGGTGCTGTTTGTGCATGGTATCACAACGCCGTGTATTTCGCTCGGCGGGGTGGCCCATGCGCTGGTGGATCGCGGATGTCGTGTGATGCTATTTGACTTGTAGGCGTTGCACAACATTCAACACTTCGACTTATCGCTAACCCAAGAAATTACATTTAGGTTCGGAAGAGGATATTCCGACTGCCCTGCCGATCTTCCACAAGATGATCGCCTTTTCTCGACACAGATCCTTCTCGCTCTGACATCATCGCCTATCTCTTGGACAGGTGCAGAGTCCGGTAAATTCTGCCTTACTGGATACTCTCTAGGAGGCGGCATTGCTGCTGCCTTTGCATCGTACTTTCCACAGCTTATATCGTCATTGGTGCTCCTAGCTCCTTCGGGCTTGCTCCGCGATTCGCAAATCAGTTTCCAGAGTCGACTCCTTTACTCAAAGGGTCTTATGCCTGAGAATATCTTGTCAACCTTGGTTAGCCGTCGACTGAGGTCAGGCCCCTTGGTCACGCCCAAGCCCAAGAATAAGAAGCTCAGTGCCGCGGATGTGCTCACCGAGGAACTGCCTTCCCAAAGTGCTGCAGCAGCCCAAATCCTGTCCCGAGAGTACCCTCACATCAACATCCCGTCTACCGTGGCGTGGCAGGTGAATAATCATACAGGGTTTGTCCACGCGTTCATGTCTAGCATGCGTTATGGTCCAATCCTACAAGAGCGTCAATGGAACAGATGGGCGCGTCTTGGCGAGTATTTAACTACACAGAACGGCGCCTCAGGCGACGAAAATAAGAGGCCGACAGAGAACAAAGTCCACATTCTGTGTGGCAACAACGATTTAATCATTGTCAAAAGTGAGCTTGTTCCAGATGCCACGGCTGCCCTGGGTGGCAATGTCGTCTTTAAGTTCTACGAAGCGGGACATGAGTTTCCCAGTACCAAGTACGAGGAAGTAGCATCTTATATCTTCGAGTTACTATGAGCGGTTCGTTTCACGGAATATATCCACTCTTGAAGGGAAGGTTTGGGATATAGCCATGTCTATTGGACTCCCGTCCGGTCCCATTTGGTAGATTCAATATACATAGAATTTTGTGTTGGTTTATTCATTGTTTTTTTTTTATTCATTTGCTTTGGCTGCCTAACTTCCCGTCTTCAGGATCTCCTCCATGGCATTGAGCTGACTTGATAGCCCCGTGAGGTGTGCCGATCTCTCTGGCATCCGCGCACCGGCAAAGTAAGGGCCCTCGGAGGCTGGTGCTCGTGCAAATCGGTCCACACTGCTGCGGTTGCTTCCCGGCACTTGGCTGACGTTGCCTTGGCTTACAGCGTTGGGACTGGTGCCGTTGGCAGCACTACGGAAAAGCTGGTTAGTTGGCTGATAGAAAGATACATTTGAATATAGATCCACTCACGTTGTGGTTCTTGGTTCCGGAATAGACATGGTGTGTGGATGGTTGTTTACGATAGATGTGAGGTTCTCACAGACGGTTCAGAGGAATCAAAAGTTGAGTCACCGGGATAGAACCCAGTAGAAAGAAGGAAGGTTGGGGTAGTGTGGTGTTCAAGAACGAGGTATGTGCTTGGCTTTGATCGGTATGTTTATAAATGAGCCGTGGTGACGAGAAATTGATGGGTTTCTGAGTTTCTGAGTTTAGTTTCTGAGTTGCTAGATTGATGATGTTCAGGATACAACTGAGCGGGAGCTCCTATATATACACTGCAGGTCTGACGCTATGCATGGGGACGGCATGCCTTTGGGGCCGAACACGCGAGCTTGAGCTTCGCATAACAGCCCACATGGACAGTACGAGCTACGCGAAGGAAACTAGGAAAAGATCATCGAGTGCATGAACTCCACCTGCCATGGGCCTGTGATGGCATCTCGACCCTTGAGCTCAACGTTCGCCAAGACTCAGTCCGCATGAACCATGCCAATTCAGGAATTCGTCTAGCGGGAACCCCCAAGGGTAGCAAAAAAGCACATACCCGTTCGGCTCATATATGCAAAACAAGCGACAAGTCCGTTGTTATTGGCTGAACTGCAGGTAACCGGGTCTAGGCAGGTACCAGCCGCATAAGGATGCGTGGACCAAGACCCACTTTTCCGATCATCCTGAGCGTAAATACAACATTCTTGCTAAGCACATGGCCAACCACATGTTTCAGGTTTAGGAATATCCTCTCGAAATACGTGGAATGAAGCGAGGGGGTGGACACCCATTCGAGTTTCAAACCGGATCTTCAACGGAGCTATCAAACAAGGGACAAGATCACGATCTCCATTTTGAAAAGAGATTAACCTCATTTTTTTCAAGGGTCTAGAACCCGTTGAAACAAATCCCGAGCCATCCTTGGCGGCAAAAAGCGCTTCACAATGGGCATCCTCGCGTGGGATGACCCCGACGCAAACCTCCCAGGGTGAAACAATGTCGGGAGCTAACGTGGTCGATCACATGGTCATGTAATGACCTAGGGGCTTAGCTCTAAGAGGTCAGAAATGGAAAATAAAATAAAACAAGGCTCGCCATGCTGCATTCCCCGAGCCACGCGCACCTGCTGCATCTGTCCTTAATTTCCCTTTCTTGACATCAACACTGCAAATCCCTCAACGGCGAGGTCTGGATTAGGGCACGGTACTGTCGACACAAGGTATTTGATAGTAGAGGGTCCATACCAGCCATGCCTTACCAGAGTAAAGCCCTAAGGGTTATTTTGTATCATGATTTCAAATACAGGAATGTGTAGATACTGCATAACAGCCGGAGATCTCCGAAATGCGAGTGACTTATTTTTAAAAAATGAAAATGAAAAAAAAGGAAAAAAAGAGAGAAAAAGAGAGGAAAAAAAAGGAAACTCCAAATTACGTGCCTAAGAAAAGGGGGCACTGGCTTGCCTTGTTACAGCTGATTATGACGAGTCCAAAGGCTGGAACAGCTCAAAAAGGAAAGCTTCAGTAATAGCAATTTGCCTTCAAGTGACACCAAGTTCGAGACTCATTCGTTGATTCAAAGAGCTCAATCCTCAAAAGGCGTTTGTTTGCGAGACAGGGCAACGAGCTTGGAAATCTGGCTAAAGGCTACCAAGTGTGCTGACGCTGATCTCTATGTTCTAACGAAGGGTCCTCGGAAAGGGTCCTCGGAAATAACGGATTTCCGCTATACTTTACGGACCGAGGGCAGTGGACCGTGCCGTGTACACTAAGTATGCAGATATATGCGCATTATTGGCGTTCTTTTTCAGTTTTGGGCTAAACCCAAGCCACAATCGCCATATGGGAAGCCAGTGTTTCAAGATAATAAGGTTGCTTTTCCCACGCGTATCCAAATATGCTCATTCCCCCTTAGCAATGTTTGACAAGGTCTTCTGTTAGTATACGCAAGGCACGTCTGGCGGAATTCCAGCAACCTAATCTCCATACGCTACGGCGTCGATCCCTTGGCTCACTAATCCCGAGCCCCCTAAAGCCGGTCATCGGTCTCAGGTGAGCAGGCCAGGTGGTACAGCATCTGATGGCGTTGTAGTTCGTGATGTGCCTTCAACTCCACAATGATGTCAGCCCTAGAGAACTCAAGGTCAAGAACTCATTGTTTTTTTTCTTAGACTGAAACGTAGCCCAACAACTACAGAAACTCAGTAGGAGCCTTTCTCTCCTTGATTTTACCTATCATAAAATGGAAAGAAACTTGTCCAAAAATCATCCAAGGGGGGAAATTGACAAGGGCGTTGACAGAAGAGGAAGGGATCATCTATACAACTTCCATTTCGGGATACTTAATGCAGTTTGCCAATCAACAGTCTGAAACGCAGCTCAATAGTTCAACCTCATCCACAGTGGGGTCCGGTATAGATGCCGAAAGTCCAGCTGCAGCTTGTTACCATCGTAACCTGTGCTCCTGACACAGCCATGCCACCAAATTAAACGGCGACTCGGGTTCAACACAAATGACAGATGTTGGCTAAAAACGTATTGTTTCCCCCCCACGCGCGTAAACATAGTCTATACACCCAGCATATTTATTGTATGCAACGGCTCTTCATTTGCCGGTAAGCCACCTCATCAAACTGCAAATCCCGGTCACATCTCCCCGGCTCCTCGGCTACAAACAAAGGCCTTTCTCGGAATCGGACTAGTAACTGCAAATCTCGTCTGGGTCTAGCTGACGAGTCTACTCTAGGTGACATCGTCGAGATGTGTAATAAACGAGGATCGTAATATGCTTCAGCCTTGGCTAACACGCATGCATTTTGATATTAGGATCGCGGGCTGGTTGCATGAATCAAGGGATGACGGCATAGCCACATCCCTGGCGTGCGTGCCCTTGGGCTCGTTGTGCGAACTCTAGGACTGAAAATTATTATCATAGGAGTTCGTTTCTTTGCTTTTACTTTAGCAACTAGAGTAAAAAGAAAAGGAAACCAAGGTGACAATCCGATTCTGACACTGTTCAACCAGGCAAAAATGGGTCACCACAACACATCTTGGAACATAGATAATCGAAATCAGATGTGGGGAATTGATGATAACCAATCCACAGTGATATAAGAGCCAGCAGGCAATGCCCGGAGGGATATAAACATCAGGATGACACTTCCCCAGCGTGCAGTGGCATAACAGCAAAACCACATCAAATTCCAAAACAGGTCAGATGGCTTTGACCAACTAGCACTTGAGACACGCTCCTCCTTGTCGTCTAATGTACGCCGGAGGCAATGGAATGACCAAAGGTATCTTAAGTACAGAGGCCAGGTGATGAAGAGTGCAACTAGCGAGAACACTCGCCACACTATCTGCTCCGCCTGCGTTGGGAAGGTAGAGTTCCATCTAAATTTTTGGTTATCAGCCATGCCCAGTATTGAGAAGATAAAAGGGTATAATAGTACGTACGCAGCAACATGTATTCCGCAAAATACCAGCCCGCTAAACATGTAGAAATGAGTGATATTGGTCCATTCCATGATCGTCAACTTTTCGTCGTCTTCCATTGAATCTTTCATTTTTTGTGTCTTGGATTCTAGCTCGGTTTCCTTATGGGTTTTCTGGAGAGTTTCCAACTCTCGGTGGCCATTTCTGCTGGCTTCAGAGGGTTTCCTCGATAGTTCTTTTCCTTGGGAAGTTTCCTTTCTGGCCAATATTCCGTCAACTTTTGGCTCATTGCTTGGTTGTTGGGGCCCTGATGCTGCTATGACACCATGAGGAATTTCTTCATCCTGATAGTCACCATTGATATTGACCGGTTCTGGTTCTGGCTCATCGCAAAGTTTTCTGTCTATATGGCTACCAGGGTTGGCATGAGATGGTTCTTCAGATTGCCGGGGACTTTCCTCATCTTGGTGGCTACCATTGCTGGCATCAGAGGGCTTGGCTGTTGCATTTCGTATTCTGACTTCCAGCTTATCTTTCAGCACTTCCCAGTTCCTATTCCATGACCAAGGTGCACAAATAACTGATAACAGATGAAGTTGGAAACGGAAAGTTGTGACAATTATTTGCCATACCGGAGATTCAGTGTCTCTAGCGATAGCATCCGAGTGGACCCAGTTCTCAACTTGTGCGTCTAGGATATCTCTGACTTGAGGCGGTAGACTCTCAGAATCGCGATCGTATGGTAGATAAATCGTGATTGGTGTTACCATATCTTTCGGTTTATTCCACCAGATTACATAGGTAGCGGCGGCACAAGAGATATAAGCCACTGTCGCAATCTCGAGAGCTGTGATGGGCATGTTATATGCTCTTCTGGCGATAACGTTGCAAGTCACCCAGAAGGCTTGGAGCAGACTAAATCCTTTGGCAAAGGAGTCAGCTTTGGCACGGTCTTGGATGTCTGTAGTCCTCAAATGAGATGGCTTGATAACGCGTGTTTTGATCAAAGCAACAACGTTGCTACAGTGCACTGGATATGTCCAATCATCCTTGGTCTGAAGGAGAACACCATTCATACCAAGGCAAAACCCCTGGACAGTGCCCCAACGACCATCAAATTCTTCCGTCTTTGGTGTTTTTGGAACTTCCGAGGAGCCTGAGTCACCTCCTTCGCTGTTTACTATGCGGAAAGCATCATTACAGCGTGCCGCTGCAGACCTTGCCTGCCATAGTTCTTCGGCTGCAGTTCCAGCCATGAACTCTGGAGCAAGTATCGTGCCTACCCATGCCGCTGCCTTCCACCAAAGAAATACTGCTTGTGTTTCAGTACGGGTTGGGACAGAAATGTGCAGGGCTGTCCATGTGCAAGCAAGGATTGTTGAAACACAAGTCCAGAAAATATCCCAACTTGAGCGTGTGTTGTCATCCAACTGCCAGCCTTCCAGGGCCGTTGAATTGGACTGGGCGAGTGATTGGTTGACAAAGCCAAACAATAGTAGAAGCGCAATCATGGCGTGTGCCTGAATTTGGCGATCAAAGATGCAGAAGATTTAAGAAGTTAGGAAAATAGAAAAGGGTTTAGCTCGACAACTCAGCCACACGATGTGGATAGTAAAAAGGAGGCGGGGTCTTCCCTTAAGGTTGGTTTAGGTGGTGGATCACTCTTTATGTCTGAGCTATAATCCCCATGTTTTCCAAATATAGTGGCAAAAACATTGGAGAATAAAAAGATTTCAGCAATAGAGGGTGTTCATTGTTAATGTGAATCAACTACAGTAAGGAACTTTTTAGAAACATATAATATCTGGCCCGAGGCCTTAACATAAGATTTTTGGATATGTACAATAGCCACCCGAAGCGCCGATGCACCGAATGCAGTAGTTAAAGAATCCTCGCTTCAAAACATTTGAAAATAGCAGTACAAAAAAGAAAAAGAAAAGGAGAGAAATTGACTCTTAAGTCCTCACAACTGTCGTTGAGTATGGTCATGGCTGGTGGGGAAGAGCGGCAGCGAAGGATCCACAACATCATTATACGGTCTTCTGGCTGCCATTGATACATCTTCGTCGCTGGGTGGAGCAGTGACCACGCGCGCGGGATGGGGGTGGCCTTCTGCATCCTCCTCGCCTCTTGCGATCTTCTCAAGGGACGACAACTCGGTGGTCGTTCCGGTACGAGACCAGCGGAAAGAGTCACGGTCGTCGCCAAGAGGCTTGTACTTCGTGTCGGGTTTCTTGAAGAAAATGGCGTAAACCATACCAACCAAAAGGTAGATCAGGAGAACAAGAGTGAATATCGCATTCAAGAGGAAGAAGATTACCCCCAGGATGCCAGTCATGAGTTCAGGTTGATCAAAAACATCCGAGAAGACAAGTAGGAAGATCGTATTGAGGGAATTGATTACTGCCATTGTGATTGCAGTGACATTTGCTCCCTTGCTCATGAATGGCTTGATGATGGCGATTGCGAGCATCATGGAAAGTTCCAAAATAAGAAGAACGATCGACTGTGCGACCGGTGAAGGCTGAGCGAAGGCGATGACCATTCCTTTAACAACGGTGTAGACCAAAGCTGGCACAAGGAAGAAGTAGACCGGAGCGCGGTAGTAGATATACAAGAAACCCCACTGGTTCAGGGTGGCAGGGTCGGAATAGAGCGTATACGCAGGTGTGTTGTGCTGCTGTTTTGATCGCATCGCGCGTTGGAACACCTTGAACGCGGCAAAGGCTAAGACGGCGGTCGTCACAAGCCACATGGTAATGGCCAGAACAATTTCGGCGGCTGAGTCCCGATGAGTCAGTTCCCAGAGACACAGAATACACATCTGCGGGTACCCGATGCAAGCCAACCGGAAGAAGGTATTGCGGAGAACGGTTTTCCAATCTGCGGTGACACTGATGGTGCGATCCAATTTTGGAAGCAATGTCTGTTTCTTGGCTAGAACAGCTCGAACCAGCAGGACCAGACCTACGCAAGCGACGACGACTGCGGTGATGAAGTAGTAGAATAGATATCCAGTCATAAAGATGTTGGTCAATTCGATAGAATCACGGATTCCAACCCGTTCAATACCGCGAAGAAGGATTTGACTTCCTTTCTCCGCGGCTCTGCGATGAATGGCGGAACGCTTCTGTAGAACAACGGATATAGAACTGGAGGATGTCATCACGGTCGAGGGTGTACCCCCTGTGGCGCGTTGGAACCAGGTCGCAATTGTCTGCAGAGAATCCGACCGCACAATTCCCAAGCTCCATTGCATGTTCTGGGTCCATGATTGCACAAAGGGCGGTAGTTTCGCTGAACTCATCCCAGCCATGGCCTGTGTTTGAATGAATCCGAGGAAGGCAAGCGATCGGAAAGCAAGATGGGTTGCCGTGTTCGAATGGCCGAGAAGCGATGTGACCGTGGAGGTGACGAGACCAAGGCCGGTTATGATGGCGAGTGTCCACGACACACCAGGCTGGTAGACTGATTTTCCATTGCTAACGCGGGTCTCCAAACAGGTGATCTGTGTACCTCCATTTTTGTATTTGAGCCTGAGACGAATCACTGCGTCGATGTCGGGGACGCTGTAGGCGATCGCTATGACGTAATCGTTAGTAAGAGCCACATGTTTGGCCTCGGGTCGAGGGCTCGAGGCCTTGAGAGGGTTGTAACAAGGAAGTGTAAACGAACATGGGATTTGCGAGAGAACATTGTCACCCAACGTTTGAGTGACTGTGGGAATTTGTAGTTCGATGGCTTTCATAGGACAAAATACCGACAAATCAAGACTGCACGGATCGAACGTCTTGGTGAACGCTTTGTATCCATACACCAAGAGGTCGACATCAATGAGCACATCTCCGGCTACTTCGGAATAACCATCGAAGATAATGCTGATGGACTTGTTGGCTGGTGTGAATACCGCATTGAAATTATTCACGGTCACTTCGGCACTGTCGGAACATTGTGTCAGCCCGGTGGCTTGGATGAGATTCTCTGCTTGTACAAGCTGAAGACTCTGGAGGAGGGTGAAAGCTCCGAAAAGGAAGCCATTCAGTTGCATGGCGACAAAACAGGTGAGTGTAGAAAGGGAAGATGGGAGTATCGTTCTTTTTCTTTTCCTTTGATTTTCCTGATATCATTCAAACTCCACAGTACAACGTAAGCGCTCAGTGGAGCCAAGAGATCGTCCAGGGTCGCGCAGTGAAACAATAACTCTCAGGCAACCATCATTCATAAAACGGTGGATTGGACTCCGTGTCCATACTCTGTACAATGGAATCATGATCAACAAAGCTGTTCCCCTGTTCCTTCGGTTATCCCAACCTCTTGCCCCTCTACACTGCCCCAGCCTCCCAAAGAGTCTAGACGATCATGTCGATTACTACTCCGTACTCCGTACTCCGTAGTGAAAATTTCTATTTCGGCTTATTCTCGCTATTTTCCAGGCACAAGGTCCGGGAATCAGCCAATGCAACATCCAAGACCATTGGCCGCCACCGGTCAGCGGACTTAAATTAGTTCCGCAAACAGCCATTTTACAAACCCCCAAAGTTAACATCTCCTAAACATCTACTACCTCAGGTAGTTACAGTAGTTACAGTTGACGCATTCCGCGGAAACACTTGGCTTTGAGTTTATACAACATAGCGTTCATCTGGTCTTTCCGCCGGCTTCCAGATTGTCGGCTGATCATTCCCCTTTTAGGAGTCATCAAAGGATCTGATTTCCGCCTAAATTTAGAATGGGTCAAGGATTGCGTTTTTGAGGCCATTCATGTCTCTCATTGGGCAGTCTAAGACTGTCTAAGACTGGTACCAATGTCTCTAACCAATAGAAATTCTCTCGCATCTGTAACTTAATCAAGTTCACTGCCCCCGATTCAGAGATTATGATGATCTAGAGCTACGTCCATCATTTTAGCAAGATTATGGAGTCAACAATCATGGTAGAAGCCCACACTGCGGTGTACCGTAAAAATTGATTGGGTACGTTCTTGGGCACATAGATTGGAGACCCCGGATTTCCAGGGTCCTCGCACACAATATTAACAAGGTATTTCAGCTATGCGACGCAGCTTTATTTCTATTGCTATTCGTTGATCGATCAGACTTAATCAGCTGATAGTCCCTGTAATGATCTCTCGCGTCTACTTGGATATGCAAAACTTGAATTGATGCTGCGTACAACAACTTGGTGAGCCAAGACGGTACATTCAAAAAAGAAAAAAAAAATATATATATATATATACTATAACAAATCACCATGCTCTCAAGTCAACGCTAATTGTCATTAGCGACAGCTTTAAATATGTATCGGAGGGATTGAGAACCACGAACTCCCATTGTGCCCGACATATCTCATTTGTCTTTAATATCATGTGTTGATCTATACCCTGCCGAGCCATCTCGTGGCATGACGTAGCCACCAGCCGCAACCCTAGAATGGAGAATGAACGGTAGCAAAGGGATGATCAAAGGAGCTATTTACGCTAGGTGATATCATATGTAAACGAGGGTACCGAGTACGACTAAATTTCACTTGGTTGCCCAACTCACCATGCATGCTATCCATCCCATCAGACCTGTCATCGGCCAAGCGAACGAGGAATCGCCACCACAAAATCATCATACATGCTGTCATACCAATTGATATATTCCACGTCTATCATAAATACCTCGCATCTTTTCTCCGTCTTATCGTCAAATCAAGACCCGGGCTGAGCGTCAAACCCGATGAATTGCGTTTATCCCCGCGTGAGCATGTAGTGAAATGGGTGTGGTCGCAATCAGAGCGCTTTGGCCTATCGCTACTTTCAAGGTGGTGCAGCAGTTTTGTTGTAGATGTGTTAGTTTATACGCTACATTGCGCGTGAGAATAGTCCCAAAGTTGTTCAAGAAACTGACGCCCAATATCCACAGTTTGCTGCGCTTCACCACTGATTGACCCCCCCTCCCGTTTTAAATATGATATTTATGCATCAATAGACAACTTGAATGATAATTCGGGACTTTGGAGGGAGCTATCGAAGTAAATGGAGGCAAAACACCGGGGAGGCGGACAAAGACCTGCCCTGCGGCTCCGGTCTTTTTGGTAGCCCCGGCTGCCATCACGCAAAGACGGGCGGATAACTTTAACTTTGCAAGCTACTCACCACTGGGTCAGCATGCTGTATGTATTTGCAATTTGGAAAATAACTCGATTAAAATGCACACCAGTCTATGTAGCGTCTATACATCGTAATCATCTGTACAAGGTCCATAACCAACTCTATATATCTCCCTTTCGTACCCGTATCGCTCATTTTTGGCTCTCTTCATCTTAAGGTGTAGGAGTAACTGAACCGGTGTTCTCCTCATGGTACGATGTCTCCTTGACCTCATAGCGGAACTGCTCCTCCTCTTCCGCAAGAGCAGCCTTGAGAATCTTGTTTGCTCTCCAGACGGGTTTGCAATCAAACAGGCGGTCGATCTTTTCAAGAGGGATACCGCTGGTCTCAGGGATAAGGAAGAAGGCGAAGAAGAATGCCAAGAATGACAATGCAGCGAAGAAGAAGTATACGCCGTAGTGCATCTTGTCAAACATCTGTTCGGTGAAGCGAGAGACGAGGAAGTTAAAGAGCCAGTTGCTTGCAGTCGTGGCGGCCTGGGCCAGGGAACGGAAATTGGGGTCGAAGAATTCCTAATAGCTTGTTAGGAAAGGGTTTAATTGAGGATGGTAATAAGGAATGACTTACGGAATTGATAACCCAGGGGGTACCATTCCAAGTAGGAGTGTAGACTGCAGTCCATAGGTAGAAGAAGAAAATTGCCGCAATGCCTCCACCATTCAGAGACGTGCTGGGGTTATCTTCGGGCTTGACAACACAGATGTAGGCACCGATGACCCACATACAGATCGATCCAGTCACGGCACCAACAAGGAGCAGATTGCGCCGTCCAAATTGATCGACCAGGAACAGGAGCCATACGAAGGTCATAACGGCCTTAATAACACCGAAGATACCGGTCATCAGGTTAACGGTGTTAGAGTCGACACCAATCTAAGGAACATAAGTTAGCATAATTAACTGACCATTGGAAGATGAAGCGCAATCATACCGATCTAAAAATGGTAGGCGAGTAGTAGTTGATGGCATTGATACCAGAACCGTTCTGCCAGAAGAAGAGCATGCAGCCCAGCATCAGACGGTACATGACGCTCTTGTTGGTGGCGAGAGCCTGGAAGGGCTTCCAGAAGCCAATACCGATAGAACTCTTCTGATGCTCAAGAGCCTGGTCGATGGCAGCCACCTCTTCGGTGATATACATGTCGTCGGCTTCTAATTGGCGGATCCAGCAGAGATTTACCATCGCTTCGCGGCGACGGTCCTTAAGGAACAGCCAACGAGGTGATTCCTTGATCCACAAGGCACCCACGAAAAGCAGACCGGATGGGACAAGCTGGATGGCGAAGGGAATGATCCATTGCTCGTGTTCTTGAGGCATGTGTTGCTCAACACCATACTACCATATCTAGGTTAGCTTTGAACGCAAAGATCAGCGAGAGGCAGGGAGACACACATTAATCCAAAAACCTAGCATTCCACCAATCTGCCAGCCAAGCTCATACAGGCCTACAAGCCGTCCTCGGATGGCAGGTGGCGCTAGCTCGGACAGATATATGGGAATGATATTTGAGGCCACACCGGTACCCAAACCGGACAGCACACGACCAGCGTAGAGAATGCCTAGCCCTCGGGCACTGTTGGCACCGAGTTGTAGTCCAGCTCCGAGGAAGAATACGGTGGCGGCAACAGCCAAACTCCATTTGCGGCCGATGAAGTGGCCGAGGGCGTAGGTTCCCAGGGCACCGAAAAAGGCACCAGCAATGAAAAGTGAGACGATATTCTCGCTAATTAGATTTTGTTGTGTGGTAGACATCTCGTCGAGGCCGAACTCCTTCATGAAGGAGGTGAGTGTGATAGTTGTACCGATGAAGGCACTGGTATAACCAATCATATTGGAACCACATGATGCAATGCCAGCGAGTGCATATACACGCCAGTTGTAAACGGACTTGGGCGTTGGCCGATCCTCAGCAAGTGTGAGAATGCCCATGGCTGAATAGGTGACAGCTCGGGCTGTGGGAGGTAGAATTGGAGGTTAGGGTGAGAAGAGCAAAAAATTTGCTCGAAGGCAGATGAAGGAAAGGAAAAGTCAGGATGTGCTAGAACGGGGCCCTAAGTAATACCCGCTATCCTAATGGACTGTGGGTGTGGAAATACCCCAACTAAACTCCCCACAACACATATCGCCTAAAACCCCATAGACCGGGGCAATATAATATGGGGTTCCAACGTGAGGCTACAGTACGGCGACGATTGCAGATGCATGAAGCACGTCCACCAGTGGGAAAATTGGCCGGGGTAGCGTTTTCCCCGGAGGAAACGTTCAGCCGGCAAATAAGCTTTATATAGGTCTAACGTATATCAAACTAGATGAGATCGCAGGGAGTTTCTTGTTTCCTCCTATTCAAGAAGATTTTCTTGGGCGCAATAGATGGTAAGCATGTTTGTGGAATGTACTTTTGCCTCTACACCAAAGAGGAGTCTTATAGGTTTAGCCGTCAAATTTTGTATATTGAATAGGGGCACCAGGTGAGGCCCATCGCCCAGTAACGGATTATCTTCTCTCTGCGTAGTTTTGGCGGAATAGTAATACAAGCTGTAGCAGTGGAGAGAACTGGCATATCGAAGTCCCGCTTGTTAAGTGAATACCCCATGATCTGTTTCCCCAATAATTACAGCAAAAACACTTGCCTCCAGGGGGAGAACCTTTAACCACGTGTGGAGCCGGAATTTTGCCGAGCTCTCGGGAAGGCAAACGATACCGTACACCGAAGAGCGAAGCACACCGAAGCACGGCAAACGGAAGAAGGGGTAAAAGTCTGTTTAATCCTTGCCGACTTCGGTACACTAACCTAACTAAGCTAGACAGATATAAAGAAAAAAGAAGAATTTTCAACTGTATTGGTCCATACTGTGCTTATACCGTGCTTACAGGAGGAATTTTTAAAGTCGCATCATGACTTGTTCTACCTGGAATCCCACACTCCCACAATATCGGAAGTGGCGGAATAAGCCCCCACGGGCCCGGGATAGTACATCTGCACTAAACGTAATTCCGGGGTCTACATCGCAGGGGTCGTCGGGCCCGGATCACCAACAAATAGATATATGGGCAAACGTGTTGATCCAATAAAACTAACTAACGCGGTTACTACATAGTCCTGATGTTGCTGTCGGTGTCCAGGTAGTATTCTAATGACAGTAAGCTTGGAATTATACAAGCTCTTTTCGGCCCGGTTCCGGCTTGGAAGGATGCCGTGGCATACCGCCCAGCCTTGGTACTCAAAAGTGCACTTTACTCAGGGATTTGTACAAACCAACTTTTAGTGTAATGGCCTTGTTGGCATTGACCTGTCCTGACCCATCAGCGATATTCCAGGGATTCAAGAAATTGTGCCTCTGAATTCACAACTTATCGCTCAATTGACTTTTCCCAAGAATTGTGATAAAATATCTGATCATTTGCCGTGCGCTTGTAGGTGCGTCTTCCTGAATCCAAAGGATCCACAAATGCAGGCAGGGGGCTACGCGGCGTGGGGGATGAAGACATATGGTGCATTGTATCATGGATTGCGAGGACCATGCTCAATTGGACCCATCTTCCAAAAATTAGACCGTTACATACCTGAGGCCCCTTGGAACAGTGCAGAAACCGTGGTCATGGAGCTTAATGATCGGTATATCTTAGCAGCCCTGTATTCAGATTCCCTCGAATTGCCTGCCCTGTTGGCGGCTACAAGACCGAGGCTTGAGTTGGTCTATGCTTGTATGGAAGTCACATGTTGCTAAAGGATGGCACCCCGGGATAGTGTTTGGCCATGCAGCTTACGCGGCGGCAGTTTCTAGACTTCTCGGCATATAAGATCCTTTTTTTTTGTTCAGTTAAGCCCTTGGCACGGCTTCCACCTAAACTTGTAGATCGATATCAGTCCAGCTTGGAAAGGATGGAAGCGTGTGCAGCATGGATTTTCTCTTGTTTTGGTCGTTTGGTCGCTTTGTCGCTCTTTTGGCAGATTTGGGGTATGCTTCTATGGCTGGGACTCACTGCACCGTTGATGCCATCACTGCATTGGAGGAACACAACGCCAAGAAGCCTTCGAAATTGGGTCATATCAAAAATATCAAGCTCCCAAATGTCCAAGGCAGCTGCAAAAGCATGGCGGACGGAAAACCTCTCAGCAAGGAGACTCCATTGCTCTGTGCCTATTCTGCTGCTGTCCAGATTGCATATTATGGATGAACAGATTTTAAAATGGGCGTTTTAATGTTACTTTCTCGACAGAGCTAAAATTTGGGGCCATTTTGATAAAACAAAATGGCTCCACGCTCCAGAGCTGGGCGAGAAATGCGAACAACGCGCCACGATCGCGTTCAATGTGGACATGACTGCGAAGCTTTTTGACGCGCAAAAAATTGTTTTGTGTATGGTCTCATAAACGAAGATGTCGTGGAGAGATTCAGAAAGTTCACAGAGGACCTTGATGATCAACGAACATGACGATTGGAAAGTGATGCTGGATATCGAGATCCTGGAGGATACCGGTGCCCTGAAAGATCGGTTTGCTGGAGGGACCCCGACTCCTATTGCATCAAATATAGCCTGCGTAGAAATTGACCATAAGTCACTGTTGCTATCAATTTTGGAAAGTTCCAAGTTTGGAATAACAAATTATAGAGCCTGAGGCAGAATTGTTGCCTGAGGCAGCAACACGTGCCATCAACCTTTGGCGCTTCTTGAAGTCACGCTATGTCAACATGAACTGCCTGTATCTCTTTGGACCTCGAACTCTTGATCTTCAAAGAGTGGCCGACTGTCCCGGGAATTTTGTGGATACGCCATTTCCCGGATCATGCCCACATCTAAAGCGGGGCATTATTTCCAGGCGAGTCTTATCGGCTGAAGACATGCGAATCTCAGCGCGTGTCTAGTAATTCAAAACACAGTGTAAGTATCAAGTATGTTTTCCTAGATTGTAAATAGATGTATGAGCTAACCAGGTCTTGACAAACCAGCAGAAACGCAAACATTGGAAGAAAGAATTGAACGCCTTATCGCACATCAAGATGGAGAATCGAGTATCCCTCAGCTCTATCCAGAAGGCCGTCTGGGACGGGCGCTTGCCACTGGAGATTGTTCTGGCTTCATCAGAAAGTCGAACCTTTGACAAGACGGATCCATATCTTGTATGTCTATTCAAGCACTTGACATACACAAATGCTGAACTCAGTTGCTAGATCGCATATCCGCGCATCTCATATCTTCCCTCGTTGCTACCCAAGCTTCGAGCTTTCTTCTCAAATTTTTTGATAGAGCCAAACTCCCAGTCTCATGATGGCTGGTTTGAGTTTGAGGGGGTGCCTCTGAAATGGCACTACCCAGTGGGATTGTTATTTGACCTCTATGCAGGAGCAGACCCAGCCTCAAAGACCGCCAGGGATAACGAGTCCCCTAGCGACGGGTCATCGCTTCCCTGGCGTCTGATAGTGCACTTTAGCGACTGGCCGGATGACCTTGTTCGGCTTGATGCTGATGGAATGGTCATGAATGACGCCTTCATAAACAGTGTGAAGGAGGCGGATTTCCTACGGAACGGTACAGCCAAAGGCATCATGAGTCTCTCAAAAGAAGACTCATCAGGACTTTGGAATGCCGTTCAAGAAGGTGAGTCAAGCATTCTATGTAGAACTTTTCCTGCTGCATCAATGATAGAGACCATCCTAACACGAATGAACACAGTCGATCTTCTTTCCTTTCAGCGCATATCGAGTATTCTTCTTCCTCAGCTCTCGCAACCTTTCCGCAACGTCCCAATCCGGATTTTCTTGCCACTCCCACTAGATGCCGAGACTTCTTCCCTTAAAGTGGTACAATCGCCACTTCCACCTTCAATACCAGCATCAAGTATGCAGTCGAGTCAAATGTTGAGCTCGCGGAGCGGTTCCATGATGCACCCTCAAACGGTCGGGACTGTTTTGCACACATTGCTACCAAATCTGTTTCCCAGTCGGAGAACTCCTGTCCTTGCAAAGCCCGTCTTACATGGTGCTGTGATACCCATGTCTGCTCCGATCGAGGAACTCGTGAGAAGCTCTGCTTATGGAGATGGGTGGGCATATCTTGTTGTTCGGATGATGGGATGAGATAACATACACCAAGCAGGGAATATATATCTGTATCATCGTTGAATGATACCAACAACTTTGCAACGCAGAAATGAACCATATTCGACTGTAGATCAGTAGTGTAGACCAAAATAAAGGGTGTCCCTTTTGCTTCTTTACGATGACCCCGAGAACCACCTCCAACGACAATGTCCTTCTACAAGAAGGTATACAAATGGACCACAGAGAACTGAAAACCACGTACTTATACGAAATCAAGTGAGATTGCCTGTTACAAATGAGAGGTAAGATTCTCCACGTCAACAATCTGTTTTCTCCGCCAACTACCTATTTTGTAACTAAATGCAACTATACTAATCAAGGGGTATCAGTCCGACCGCCTGCGGCGATGCGTCTTGTGAATTTGTGCAAGGGTATGACAAAAGAAATACGTTATGTTCCAATAAAAGCGCCAGAGCAATGACACCTAGGTACTTCCTTCGGCGATAATGAGGACCGCAGCACACCAAAAACAAAAAAAAAAAACCAGACAAATTGTAAGCGTACACATATGCAAAGAACTGAAAGCAACGCGACAACAAATATAAACACTCAAATCACATTTCCATTGACAAGCATGTCATCGCCACCGTCCCTACCCTTCTTCAGAGCCTTGGCAAGCATAAGCTCACGCATCCAGTCGATGCGATCCTCACGAGACTTGACAGCGAAGTGGTGGCTCTTGACAGCGTTGTTTCCAAAGAGGGCCTTTCTCTCATTCTCCCTTGTAGCTGGAATAAGTGAGAAAGCAAAAGCAGTACCATCACGGCAGTCAATGGTATTGTTTCCGTTACGCAGGATCGAGCGCTTGAACGCGGCCGTCAACTTAGAGCTTGTTGCCAGCGACGAGCAAGCGACAGCATATTCGTCGACCTCGATGTTGTCGAGGGCACGAGAGATCCGGTGCGCATCGCGCTCGTCCTTGTGCATAGCCAGGTTGGTGCCGCGGAGCGTGAAGTGCGCATCGGACCACTCGTGTCTGAGCAGACGTGTGGTCTTGCGCTTCTTCATGTATCCTGCATGGGTAACGTCCGGATCAGATGCCAGAGAAGACAATGAGCTGCCGTTACCATGTTGGTTCACGCGGGGGCTTCGAATCAGGTCTTCTGGAACATCTATCGGGGTCAGAGGCTTGTCCTCTTTCACCTGACGGAGGGGGAGAACATCACGAGAACCGGTAGAGGTGCTCCGTGCAAGGTAATTGGCATCACGGAGAGGAAGATCATTACTGGGACGGGTCGAGGCGCTCCGTGGAGGGTAATTGGTATCACGGAGAGGAAGATCATTACTGGGACGGGTTGAGGTGCTCTGTGCAAGGGAATTTCCACCACGGTATGGAGGGAATAAGGTTCCATATTGCATGCCTGGGGGTACAGATTGAGACACATCACGGGAGATCGGATCACTGGGGATTGCAGTGATAGGGACATCAACTTCGGAGAATGGTGTACCTTGGCGGTAAGTCTCAATGGCTTGTGTTTGATGGGCGTGACTGAATGGACCAAATTGCTGAACAGCAGTGGGAGAGCCATTCTGATGAGTGGGGGTGAAGTATCTGTTGGTGGTAACAGCGGTTGTCATATCTTCCGTGACAGGACTTGTCGGGATCGTAAGCTTCGGAAGATTGCGCAGATTTGCGGCCATGGAGTTTGACTGGGCATTTATCGGAGATATGTCATCAAAGCCATCTGGCGGTGGAAGGTTGTAAGTGTCCAGCCCAAGGGGTCCAGGCTGGGGGAAGTCATCGACATGCTGGTGTCTGAGGAAGTTCCGGATTGTTTCCTGCGGATCCAAGCGCCCTACTTCGTTCAGGGCTGCCTCGGAGAGTCTTGGTCCGGACCGAGGGCCAAAGATGTCTGAGGAAGCCACCACTGATAGCTCGGCCTCAGACATGGGTCGGAGAAGATTTCTTGCGGTGTCAGGATTTCCGGGACTACCTACAAAGATGGCACCCCGCTGGAAATCGGCCCCCTGGAAATCTGCGTCAGGGTATTCTGCAGCAAGCTTCTCCAGGCGCCTTTGTTGGTTCTGCTGGAGCCTCTTATACTTGCTGCAATTTTTCCCTTTGGAACACCTGTGTGGCTTTGGATGGAATTCCTCGATTCCTACAATTGAAACAGACTCTGCGGTTGAAGTTTGATTCCCAGTCTTCCCAAAAGCATACGAAGAGATAACTTGACCGTCAGGCGATATAGCCACTGTGTAGGATTGGCCTGTAGGAGGAGATCCTCTAGGGGCCAACTCTTGGGGGACAAATTCCTGGCGGGCGAACGATTCGGGAGATGTTCTCCCATTAGAAGACGCCGCCTCGGATGGAAACTGAGACGGGGTCTCCGGAATCGGTCTCGTCTGCATGTGTTGCTTGAGGTATTTAATCGAGTTGGAGATCTTGCGACGTTTGCCCATAGATTGGATTAGGAGTTGATCCTTGAGTTCATCCTCTGTTAAGGCCATCAAAATGTCGCCTGAAATATCATTTTTGATGAATGTATCACGGACATCCTCAGCGTATCCCCCGATAAATAGCCAGTGAGCAACCTGACTGGGATCCCAGTTTCTAATCTCCTCCTCCGAAAGATGAGACACATCAGGGTTGGGTGGAAAAGCCTTTGGTGTCTTAGGAGACAACAAATACGGGTTGGTGAACTCAGCCTGATACTGGTTGACGAACTCAGCCTGATGCGGGTTGACGAACCCAGGCTGCGTAAGTGATGGCGCAAAATCGAGTGTAGGTGACGGTGCAAGATAGAACTCAACATCTACAGTCGAACCTCTAGAACCTCTGGATTCTCTGAACAAGTCAGGGCCTGAAGGGCCAGCAATCAGTTCCTTGCTTGATCGAAAGGTAGGCAGGGTTCTTGGAACGAGATCTGGAGTTGGTAGCTCAGGGCTCGAAAGAGTAGTGTTGCTCCCGTAACTGAGCTGGTTGTTTCATGTTATATTAGGCTCCGTCCTTCGATATAAAGATGAGGTCACTTACTGATTGCATACTCTGTCGGTGGGATTCGCCCCAGCCACCACCCTCAGAATCCGTGTCATCAAATAAGGTTGCCCCCGAGTTAGGGCGCTGTTTTTCGACGGTCTTTTTAGGATAGAACCACTCGTGATTTGTCGTGTCCACGCCAGCAGGAACTACCCTTCGCCGAGCGGCTAGTGATGAATTCGAAATCTAAAATGGTTAACAGGGATCATATCATTCCCCTCGCATTAAAACTCACCATGTCGTAAATCGTAAGTATGCTAATCTCCAAGATATAGTATAATTAAATGAATGTGTTGTTATTAGTGGTTCCCGCACAGCAGTGAACCCACTAGATATGAAATGAAAGTAAGGAAATAAAAAATAGACTCAATGTAAGTGGCGATCCAGAACTGGGAGATCCAACAGAACTTCGTGACACGCGGGGCAGTTGGGTTATAATAAGTCTGCACGATGTGCTGAGAAAATAATTACCCTTGAAACACTGTAGCGCTGGGGAGCAACGACCTAGCCAACCCGAACCGTCCAACAGGACAAAATTTCCGTATCATGCGATGTTGGTGAAACCCAGCGCGTAACTAAAAGTCGGTAGCAGAGGGCCGAGGCGATTGGTTGAGAGCAGGGATACAAGGGCATATGTGATTGTGATACGAAGTGATCCACCTGCAGTAGTTTAGGTTGAGATGCAACCACCTCGCATTAGCATTGTATTAGCATCGCCCAATCATTACCCATTACCGCATTTATTTCAAGAACAAGGCGGCCCAAACTTGAACTTTAACTGGCTTAAAGGATGGGTATTTCTCTGAAGCGAGCATGTTGTCGAAGGTTTGTCTAGAGGGTGAAGATGTGACTGGCGTGCAGTTAGCGCCCATGCAGTTACCCCTCCCCTGCTTCCCACCTATAGGAACCCGATATAGTGTGACGACCACGCATCAACCCTTAACTAGCGCTACAGCATTCTCTCGGGAAGTTTGCATCCTCCCCTATGGTTGCTATATTTAATTGCGATTCCATTCCTCGAGTCATGTCCCTGGTTTCTTCTGCGTTGCTAGGGTTTCGCTCGCTAACGGCGTTCCGTTACCAACACTTAAAAATATGCCCAGTTTCATTCTCCAATTATATTCTCCCGACTCAGGACTAGTGGCTCAGTGGCTTGGGTATCACACGCATTTTTCTTATGCCCGTCTTGTTATTTGTAGATGTGATGTGAGCATTGGGGGCCAATCAAGCGGTCTGTGTACGGATACTAGGATGCCTATTAAACTTGTACCCTTTTGAGAAGATTTGTTGACACACACTCAGAGTCATACTATGAAGATAGCTATGGAGTTGAATTATTGTTTTAAGCTCCGAGGAAGCCGACCCTGGGAGGGTTGGTGGTCTAATGCGTACAACAATGCTGGCCAATTTCCGAATCTTTCCAGCCTTCTATTTCTCTCACCGCTGTGTCAATTGTGAATTATTGAGCCTGGAAACCCACAGATAGCTGGGGAGAGGGGGTTGGGATGTGCCATGTGCTGCATATTCCTCGGCCCGCATTGATAAATTAGCTGCAGTTGTTCATGTGGAAGAGATCAATGTCGTAAATTGCTAGATTCAACTAGGAAAAGATACTCTATGCCATAATTTGTATTATGTTACTATCAGATGATATCATTTCCGGTGCTCTAATAGGCTGGGGCGAATCCTACTGTCAAAAATATCATAAATTAAACATATTTTCTTTGGCTTTATAAAGTATAAGATCATGACAGCAAACTCAATGGACTCCGTCCAATATGAAAATTCGATATTGTCAATCATGGCCGCATGAAAATTCGATAGCAAATATGCAATGGCCGCCCAGTAACAATCGGAAATTTGCAGGTATGTATTCTGTACTCCGTAATTTCTAACTTGTCGGCTGTGTCATTCGCGCTACCGAGTGATTGTGTAACGTGGGATAGTCTACAGGTAGAAAAAAAAGGGTTTGGACTTCATCTTGGAGACAAGAGCGCAGGACCCAATTTCAAGCAAATGAATTCGCAAGACTGAGAACAATACGGCGGTCACTGTTGAATTGGTTAGGATAGAAATATTCCCAAAGCCTTAATAGTTAGAACAGAAATGATAAAAACGGTTGATGGTCACACCTGCGGCCTGCATATCTGTATACACGTACCCACTGATTTTGAACTGGCCTAGATCATTTATATAAAAACAACAATATATTACAGGGTACACATCATAATTAAATTTACAACCCACGAGAACGGAAGCCGACATCAAGATGGGAGGCATCAGATCACTTATATGGATGTCTTCATGACCAACAGGGACCACACACTAATCAGGTACTTGAATGATGGTTGATACATAGCTCTAACTATTGGTCAGAATACAAGGAAAGCAACTAACTAATCCACGCATGATTATACGGACCGTCGACTTGGGACCCGCGAACTACTACCTCGTATATGGCATCATCATTCCCCCAATAACTAAAGCCTCAAGTAGATTAGGGGCATTCTAGGATTTTACCTACAGGGCCTAGTCTGTGATAGGTCAAGTTGTGCGGCTGTCAAAGGCACGAAGGGTTTCCTCATTGTGCGTTTATACTTTGGATGTGTGGAGCGAAAATTTCCAATAGGCCGAGGGTTGGGTTGAATGGTTGGGAATGACAACGTACGAGAAATTCCAACTTCAAGCTGTATTCCGTAAGCATGTTGGCTGCGATAATGGGTAGATCAATCATTATTTCCCTCTGCCGTAAGTCACGAAGGCCAAGCTGCAGTCGGCCGTTGCTGATGGGAATTGTGTACTAGGGAAGAATACGACTTGGCATTCTTGCAGCTTGAGCGCAGTTTGACGGAGCACAGGGCATACCAATTGAAGTTTGATATTATGGATTAATTGTCCTATTTTGGGACTCAATTCGATCTCCGTAGAGGGTTATTAATAGTTAATTCGTTCAAAAGTAGACGCTCAAGGTTAATTCGACCAAAAATCGAAGATTTGATCGGACCCTATAGATAGACGAAACTAAAGGATGGGGTAAATTAAGTCACATTGTGCCGAAGGTTGGCGGTTAAGTATTGCTAATTAAGGGAGTATATATGCACGCTAAATGACGCTAAAGTCTTATCACATCACATCCCCCGCTCGAATCTGCACGGAGCATCTGTGGGACTACAGGCTATAATTTAGTCATACCACACTCAACCACTTAGAGCTCTCCATGGCCCCGGTCAAGTAGTGCGTAATTTTGCAATTCTTGTCTCTTTGTCCAGTTATGATGCGAGAATGGAAAGCTTGGCTTGCTCCACTTGTCCTGTCACGCTACTCATATTCCTTCAGTTCAAGTCACTCATGATCTACCAGCCTTCTAGAGGTGATTTATCTCAGTCATTGGTTAAAAGAATTTCGCGGTCAGACTTTTACTAAATTTGGCCAAACCTTTGCGGCATTTTTCTCAATTTAGTAACTTAATGAAATTTATGTCGGCCCTGTTGCTCGTCACATCTCACCCCCACCTGCAGCCTTCGTTCCTTGCAGGTCAAGAGATTTTGTGACAGTGGCTTTGACAACGAGTAGGCTTAAGATGTCAAATCACTCAGTTGGTTGGTAAAAGTATCTCAATACCAACAATGAACTCTGAATGTTGGGTTGGAATCCGAGACTATGGTACAGTGAAAAGGGTCTAAGAACCAATCCCAAAAACCGAAATTGATCCAGGTCCAATGATCTATCTGCAGCCACCCATGTTACGGAGTAGAGAGCACAGAATCCCAGCCCGAACGAAGGATCTTCATCCAGTCCTTCGAGGAACTTGGAGGTCGAGGTGCATGCGCTAACGCCGCCATGCGACCTCAAGTCACAAAATAACGGAGCTAATTGTCCCAAAATTAGTTCTCAAAAGACTAGATTGCAACATTTACCATTGTTTCTGCAACTCTCATTGGTCGCTTATGCCTGTTGGTTTCCCAGCCCAGCAATATTCTGCGGTGATCCAACCCAACTCGTGCTGATGACCCCCAAATTATCCCGATCTTGCATTCAATCTATGAATTGTGCAGGTGGGTTCTAAAATAGAAACACCCGCTTTTGCTTCCGCAAGCTATCATGAGTTTTAAAGCATCGTGAATCCCTCGGTTTTAGTTCCCTCATCCTCATCATCTTTCTAACAGTTGCTCAGCTAACCTCCCTTTCTTTTCATTCTACCTTGATAGACTACAAAGCCTGCTGGTTCAGCTTTGCGATAATACCTCTCATCTGCACTTGATTTCAGTCTTCTGATTATACAATCACTGCCATCGATCATTCTGCGGTCATCGAATTTCAATCTTCCAATATTTCAATATGCCGATCTCGAAGAATTCCTCTGCCTCTGGTACTAAGCCTCTTGCTTCTGCGCATACTTCAATGCCTCAAAGCACCCCTCCCGCGCATCACACACATGGAGACAGAGCAAATGGTCGGCTGCACAAGCGATCCCGATCTGGTATGCGATCCGCCCTCATCTTTGCGCGCTGTCCCTGAAGTCGCCCTGACGAACTATACTAATTCGAACAGGTTGCTTCACATGCCGCCTACGTCGGAAGAAGTGCGATGAGAACCATCCTGCCTGTAGCGCCTGTGTCAATCTCAATGTGCGATGCGAATACAAACGCCCGATTTGGTGGGGAAATGCCGAGCAACGGAGAGCCCAGAAGGAGCGCATCAAGAACAGGATTAAGCAAACTAAGATGCTGGAGCGAAACGGTCACTCCTCTGGTATGTGTTTATTCGATTCAGACTTCTCATACATTCCAACTGACATCCACGACACTCTAGACCCACTAAATCGCCATCACCATATGTCTGTGGTATCGCCAACTTCACCTGTACACGAACATGGCCGCTCTAGGTACAACGAGCCCTACGATCTTTTCTCATCTCAGCTGCCTACGCCTGGATTGGGAAGTGCTCCTCGTGGGCCCTACGTACCTTCCTATGAAGTCGATGTGCGAACTGAGAGACAAACATTCATCAACGATGTGCCTATGCGTCATGATTCTTCGACATCAACCTTCAGCGCATTTGCACCTCCCCAACTCAGTGCTCCAATGCCAACTTTCGCTGGCGATGAATGGTTTGGAGATGAATATTTTGCACAAGCCTCGACATTTAATGGTGCCAATCTGGGAGGCATTAATTCTAGCTTTGATCACACACACGCATTGTTGCAAAGCAACATTGCTGTCAGTGATCATGACCGGCCACTCCTCGATCACTTTATCCACAATGTGCTGCGCCAGATCTTCCCCGTTCTAGAAGCTCACCAAAAAGGCCACTTGCGTGCGCAATCAATCCTGCGTGCTCTGGAAACGAACAAGTGCTATCTTCACTGCTGTCTGAGTGTCGCCGCCATCCACCTTAAGACTACGGAAGGATTGGTTGGTGAGCAAATTGACCATGATATCATGCGGCACCGTTATGAAGCCATTTCTCAACTATGTCAGGCTTTGGGAGATGATGTTAATCACGATGAGATCCTGGATGCGACTCTTGCCATGATCTTCTTTCACTGCGCTGTTGGCCCTTCGGATGATTATCTTCCCGACATCCCGTGGTTTGATCACTTCCAAGCCGCATCAAATCTTGTAGCTAGACTCGAACTTCCATCCGCAACAGTTGAGAGCTCCAACGGATATCTGGTTCCCCCATTCAGCATGAGCTTGACTTCTTGGATTGATATTCTCGGCTCGACAATGGTGGGCAAGACTCCCGAATTTGCTCACCAGTACCGATCAAAGCACTTGGGTGGGGCCTCCTCTGGTTTACGCGAGTTGATGGGATGCGATGACCGGATCATGTATCTCATCTCTGAAATTGCATGTCTGGATTCCCTAAAGAATGAAGGTCGAATTGATGACTTGGCTGTCTGTACTCATGTTCAGGCGCTAGGACAACAACTTGAATACACAAAGCCTGCCGATTTCACGCTGGAGAACCCATTCTCACCTGCAACTGGAGCTGTTCGCCCTGACACCCTGACCAATACTATCTCTCACATCTTCCGGATTGCAGCTCAAATCTATCTTTGCAGCATCGTACCGGGCTTTGATCGCAATCAAGCAAGCACCAAGAGTTTGATCGTCGCAGTAACAGATGCCCTCCAGTTCATTCCTGCTGGTCCCCATGGCTACGACCGCTCTCTTGTCTGGCCACTGCTCATGACAGGCGTGTTTTCCGGGCCATCGAGTCCCTTCCGGTCTGTGATCGCCGATCGCGCCGCCGCGCTGGGTGACCATGGTGACCTCGGTAGCTTCGGACGCATGTACCGCCTTTTACAAGAGGTGTGGCGCCTGACAGATGACCCATTCAACTCCTCTCAAGTCCAACCTGAAGACAACTCCTACAACTCCTCGCTTACCAGTCCTATTTCCAGACTGGACGGCTCCAAATCCCCCTCTGGCGCTGGCGCCACTATGGGTGGACGGGAAATCAAAAAGCAACAAGTCCACTGGAGGGACATCATGAAGCGGAATAACTGGCACTACCTCCTTATTTAAGGAGCGTGTCTTATTTGTATTTTCATTTATTCTATTTCTCACGAGGTTGATTCTCGTGCTGGCTCACCATTACTTACCTAGATGGTAAAAGATACCCCACTTCGCGACCAGGCGTTATTTTTTTGTATGCAACGAATTTCATGTCTTAAACCCTTGCTTCTTGTTCTGTTCTTTATGTATTGCACCCTGGGCTGGTGTGTATTTCAAATCTTTGCTCAAAATCCAAGAGATACCAAACCAGCTTTTTCTCTCACTTGTGTCAGTCCTGAATAGAGTACATTATAGCTTGATAACCCCTCCACTGTGAAGGACATACGTATATAGGGAGTAGTCTCCCATGTCACAGAAGTTAAATACTAGACCGCAACTCTAGAGCTTGTCGAAGGTTTCCAGAATTAGAGTTGGCATATGTTTTCTCGGTTACTTCCTGTTGTAATCTTCTAAAGAGCTAAGCATGCAGCTTTCGCTCAGGGCATAACAAGGGTTTAGATATATTGTCTTCCTGGTGTGTGTGTATGTATCAACCAAAGTTTAACTTTTTCTCAACAATTCTTCGTAGAAGCTAGGTGCGATGTCTGGACTCAGATGTTTGAAGGAAAACGCGCATCTACATTTATAAACTAAAAAAGAACCAAAAAACCACTGTACAGACCGATAACAAGTGCTAGGGATCAAGCCAATTGACTAAAATGACATTGATTGTTTCGGATCCTGAACAATGATATTACAGTGTCAACTAGCCCTTTTCGAAGTTATCTCTTATTGCATCTACTATGAAGCAAAGCGCTTATTGCTTCACCAACATAGGTAGATCAGGGAGAAGGTCCAAACTCCCCTTTGTTAGAATGCCACAGCGGCAATGAAGACATTAGTATAGCACGTTGGTTCGATTAGCAACAACAAAGGAAAAGGATGTTTCACCGGTCCGTCCAAATGAAAGTATAGACGAGTTCTTTTGGACAAGTGACAACAATAGATGCACAATATCGTCTTTCCAACTCAGGATCTAGGTGAGAGATTACGTAGACACGGAGTTTGACTCGGGAGGCTTCAATATCTTGACATTTTCACTATCGGCGCCAAAATTAGAGAGGCTGACATAACCCCATATCCATAGAGGAGCTCGTTGTCAAGAGCCTCCCCTAGCAACAATTTGGTCGGCCAAATGTGAACAATGTCCCTGTAATAGATCTGGCCCTGCATGGAAATCTTTGGGGTTATTAATATCGTGCAGCTTCTGAAGAACTGTGGAGGTAGTCTTCTTCAAAGATCTAGTAGAACACATGAATGATTGGACCAAGAGCCTAAAAGCATGTGTCAAACAAAAGTCCCTGTTTGATCGGCTAGCTCAAAACACAATAGAGCCAATGGAGTTGTTTGGGTTAGCGCGCTATACTAGAGCCAAAATAGGAAGTCTTCAATTCTCAAACCGAGATACCCCTTAAAGCGAGCCGCCAGCAAAGCTGCAAGCTGCGCGCGTCAAGGCTGGACGAACCAGAGCGTAGTACGGAGCAAATAGTGGCTTGGGGTGGAGGGCATCGCCTAGGACAACAGCCGCTTTCCCTAGCGGCTCCTGGTACATGGCATAAGGGGTCGTTTGATTCAGATGGCGCGCGTCAGCGATGCTCATGTTGCACCTGCGTAGCTTTGCATTTCTGCGGTGACTATGGAGGGGGAGGTCCGAGAAACAGCAAAAGTGAAAGTTATAAAGATGAAGACATGATGCCATTTTGACTCTGAGACATCATTCCACAGTTTCTTCCTAGTTCACCTGAATAACTTAATTCTTGGGGCCTTGACGGTTGAGTCTTAATTTACTTCTTGGCCGCCTGTTTGCATCAATTGTCAAGAGAACGAAATAATTTCTCTTTGGGAAACATTTCCGATATCCTTTTTTTGGCCCTCGTTATATCGGAACAAAAATAGTAAGTCTGAGTTCCACTGCCACACTGTTGCCGCCGGTGTCGAACGATTTGGGGCTCAGATGCCCCCCTTAGTGCCCGTTCCGCCTCGAACCCTTGTTCAGCCTTTGTAACTTACACGAAATATTACAGACTGGTTATTTTACGGTTCCAAACGCGAAAATACTTGTATCGCCCAATTTCACCAGGATCATCTGCCTGCCTCGCTCAGATAGATAAAACAGTCTCTCCGCATCCTTTCGTTTTTGCTGCTGGCTAGCATTCTCTTCTGTTTTTGGTCTCTTTGCTATTACTTCCGGCCTTCTTATACTGTTATCATCTTCTTTGACTACCTCAACTACTTTCACCTGCGGCCATACACCCCACCCCATTCATCTCCCTCTGCCTACTTCCTCAACCCACCCTTTTAATTCTCACGCGTCTGTCAAAATAACTCGATTGCTCAAAATTATTGTGACCTGGTCAAGATGCCGAGCGTGAAACCCATCCTTCCTCCTCTCAAGACGCCAAAGACCGAGATCTTCCCATCGCAACTTCACAATGGCTCTACATCCAGTGTTTCCGACTACATCAAGCAAGAGGATCTATCAACTCCTATTACACCTCCGACAGCGTACACGGAATTTCTCAAGGCCCTCACACCTGTCTTTACCGGACCCATGAGCGCTGGTCTCGGCTTTCCCAAGTATCTTGGTGACAAAGCCTCCAATGCTACATCACCCACCTCTCAACCCGCGAGCGCATTCAGTGGGTCGACGTTTAGCGATTCGGTCAGATCCCCGACTGTATCTTTGCCGCCACCCACGCCAAACTCAGCGGCACCATCTCGAAGAAGTTTCCATGGTCGCCGTCTTCGTATCCAGTCGTCGCTGAAGTTCTCGCCAAGCGCAGACTCACCCCGAAGCGCAACACCCCAGAGCGCAACACCTTGGAGCGCAGCACCCAAGAGTGCGACGACTCTTCGGTCACCCTTCTCGCCGTCAGATTGGACGCTACGCTATTATGATTCGCCTCGCAGTGCGAAGCCTGTCAGCGTGAAACAGGTTGTCACGCGAACGGTGACCTATAAGCGCACTCAGCTCGAAGCACCGCCGAAGGGAAAGCGGCGCAAGTGTCGCGAAGCCAAGGAAGTTGACTGACAGTCTGGGCTTACGAATTATGCTGTTTGATTCATGCATTTGGCTAGTCGGTGGTTTTAGCGTGGGGGCTGGATTCGGCGTTCCAAGTGCGCATTTTCTTTTGTTCAAAATCATATATATAAGCCTGGCGCTTTATTGTCTTGTTTGCTTATGTTTTTTTTTGGTGCTGTGTCAGTCTACCTTTTAAGGTGATAATCTGATGAATACGTTTTGTGGCGGCCTGTGAACACTATTATTCGTGACTACAGTCCTGTTGGACATCGGTACATATGGGGGCCCTACCTCACACCGACAGTTGCATCTGCTGAATTACTGCTTTGCGCCTGATTAGTGCCTGGATAGTCGAATAATATTTTATGTATTATTTACACTGTCTATCATCATCAATTCGTCCTCGTTATAACTCACTAAACCAAAAGGTGCCTGCCCTTCTCTAGCCTTTGTATCTACGTAGGGACTGTCCTCAGCACCATTCCTGTACTAATATGTACTCTCTGACCAGGTGTACCTACGTGTCGCCATATTAACTTCGAAGTACTGAGCACGTCACGTCACTTAAGATGCCATCGAATCGGAACAAGGAATTGGCTATTAAATCTCCAGCTTTAGCTGCTTAACCAACAATGGATTCTTGATCGGATAGGACGAGCGTCCGCTTTGACCACGCAGAGACATGGATGATAGATCCTAGCGAATGGGGCCGGTAAAAACCAACAATAATCCTGTTATGTACACTTTGAACACGCGCCTTGTGTTGGCGCTACCTATATTCCCGGGTGCCGCTACTCCCATTTCTCCTACCGTGCATTCCACCACGTGTCACCCGTGCAAGAGGCTCTTTTATGAAAGGTCGATCTGTATGAGCCTCATTTCAAGATTCAATATACAAAAGTACTTTGTCAACACATGTTTTTTTCCCCCTTTGTTTACGAATACCAAAAACTTAAGGATTGTAAAAATGAGACGCACATCTGTCCTGTAGAGGATATCCTATCATAGTGGCGCTTCGTTTTTTTATTTTTAAACGAAGGATCTAGACGAAGCTGAACAAGTCTTTTGGCCCCATTACTACGGAGTACCAATAGCATATCTGGAAGTCAAGGGATTTTGTGCAAATCCACAGAAAAACCTCGAGGGGAAAAAAATTGACCAATTGAGCTCAGTCAGATACAGCTACTTCATTGTTGGACTAATCGAGCGCTACGCAGTTCAAATGCAAACCAAGGTTCACTGCCAGCATGGATGCGCGTCCATATGAATTCTGACTCGTATAGCTTCATTTCCAACAAAGAGAAGATTGTATGACACACACAAGATAGGGCCCAATCTCCGTCCAATTAGGCTTTACTCGTATTTTGTTTATTGCCCCTCGGTCTACTCGGCAATGCCCGAGTACTGAGTAACATGCAAAAGGATTCTAAGGTCAGGTGGTAATATTGATATTAAATATACCACTCCGTTACATTACCGATTACTCAAAATATATGTAATATTACAAGGTACTGTCATTACCGGCGTACACAAAGATGGCCCAGATTTTCCTACCTCGTACTGCTAGTAGTTTACCTAGGCTATATTGAATGCATCGTAGCACTAATGCGGAAGATCGCACCTTCTCTTCGCCAGTCATGCAGGCAGCGAGAATTTACAATTCTGCATTTATTGAGCCGTCCAGTAAGCACGCAGAATAAGAGGTTTCCCGCTTCATTCTGCAAACACAAGCACCGAGTATATTTGTGATGTAGGTAACTGGGGCGTGACAGTGACAATAACGCCACTGATTGGGCCATATAGCGCCTCCCGTGTTTCAAGTTGTCATTGAAGAAATGTGACCAGGGATCACGTCGCTCTAATCCGCTAGATGGCTTCCTTCCCCTGTGCTAACCCCTTACCCTACTGTTTCAAGTATGCCCCTAGGATATAGAACACATCAGTGTTTCATTCTCTAATCGAACGCGCTGTTGAATATATACTTATTTTAGTAAACCAAGAGAGACACGGGTAACACCTAGGTGGCCAGAGGAGTCGTACAACCCGAGATTACCTGCTAAGAAAGAAAAAAAAAATTACACAAGCACCATTCGAACATTGAAGGTTCATTGGGACGAAAAACAGGCGGACTGATGACCCCTTTTTAACAAATAGAGTTTTTTTGCGCTCCGAGACTATCATCTCTAATTTTCCCTGACCTTCTTGGGTGTTTATATTGGTTCTTCCTCGAGGCATCATCACAGAGGACCCAGACCAAAAATAACATACGGCTCACATCCCTTTCATTCTGGCCAATCAGCGATGTTAATGAGGGGCACCGAGGATGTGGTAAATGTAATTAAGCGCCGGCGCTATACCTATCTTGAACAACAAAATAACGGAACGTCGGTGATTCAGTGTTGCCCCACCAGCGCTTGGACACTGATGTGGATTCGTGATTTCTAATTGGTCTACAGAGTACATCGTATGTATGTGGGAGGAGTTGGGTGACGTGGTGAGGTCAGTTCTTACAACACGTTAGTCAACGACTTACTTTTGGCCGAGGATACCCTCGCATAGCACTTAAGGATTATGCGGCCTACCAGTTGACATTTTCTTCACGCCAAGATAAACAAACAGATGTGATCTCTTCTTGAGTACAAGCATATATAAATAGAAGAAAGAAATGTTCTTATTGGAGAGAATCGGCCAGTATGAAGTACTTACTGGACAACATCTAAATAGATATAGATCCCCATTTATCATATGAAATCGAAATCGGTCACTCTCACTAGTAACACCCATAGAAGATAATAAGAAAGAGGGGCAAATCTTTACGATTCTATAACTTTGCGTGGCTGCTGTACAGCAAATTAGACTTGGAGGCCTCGGTTCTCCTGCAAGATCAGTTAGCCAATTATATTCATTCAGACAGTGGAAGGGGGAGGGGCATGCATATTCATATGCGGTGTGATATCCCATATCCCGTGTGCTATTTCTGTAATCCCTTGTTCTATTCATAGAACTGGATACCACTTGCATTTCCTGCTTTATTTTTAGCTCAAGATGAACAGGGACAGGGTATTTTTAGCATTCAACGTCATGTAGAGTAAGTATGTTTAGATATCGATATATAAAAAAAATTTAGGTACGAGGACATTAGATATACAAGCAAAATGTCCATATCTATGCTCTATCTAGGAAATCCGCTTTCGTTCAATCTTGCCTTCTACTTGGACGATTCATTTTGATAATCCTGTGTATGCAATACTAGTAGCTCATTTTCGTTGCTCGAAACCAAATATTCGAAGCAGAGCAACGCTGATATGCACCAATCTGTCCCTCACACCAATATCGGGTCTGTACTCCGTATGGCTTTCTTTAACTGCCTGTGCTCCACCCATATTATTTCTGGTCCGTGTCTCTTAGCCACGAACTATACATCTCTTCCAATGAGAAGCTGTAAGAGCTCGAGATCCCACTTTCCTGCACTCTACTGATCATCATCAAGACGATGCTCTCATTCCGAGTTCCAATAATAGCTCTTAGTAGCGCCTATTTCTTCTATTTTTGAACATCGCCGTCGCCTTATACACCATTTGTTCTCGACGATCACACAGTCTGGATACTAACTTCCGACAACTAAGGATATCCAGCGGCAATCACAAAACGCTTTGGCCAGGTTCCTGTTGATCTCACATACACTTTCCACCAAGGGGCCGTGAAACCTCAATTCAGCTGATCGTTTTCTCCAAAATATCCAGGTCTATGCCAATCAGGGCACTCTGCCTAAGCTCTCTGCAAGACAGAAGCTCTTCATCACATACTTCAGATTAATTTTAGAACGCAAATCTTCATTGATGCTGCATCTATTCGCATACCATGCCGCCTCGAGCAAAACGCCGCTGCATGGTCTTTCCCATCGGCCCCGTACGAACCTTGTTGATCCCGTCCTTGCATAGGGCTTTCACGCCATCCATACCTGTTTCTTATGGTCTGCTACCTCATCCCCCTATCTTGTTGTCTATTTGTATGATACTGTATCATACCTAGGCTTGTCTTCATACGAAAACATAGGTATGGTATTCGTCGATGAACGAAACGTCACAATTTCCTCCATGTTTATTTCGTGGCTGGTGGCATTACCTGGGGCTTTCTTCTGAGTAGCTTGTACTTTGATCTTATTTTCGGTTCTGTTTCTATCTTTGGAAACCGTAGTTGGTCAAAGAAGTTGCCAAGGCATCCTATCTATTTCCTGCAATATACTTACTCATATCACTCAATGTAGACCCCAGCCTGTGCCATGCTAATCTTTTTTCCTTTTTGTTATTTCTTCTGTTCCCACAGGGTGCAATAAACACACTATGAGTTCAAGTCAACACATGAGCTATCTAACAAGAGATGATTGTTATATGATTATTATATGATTGTTATATTCCCAACATAATCACCTAAGTTGTGTGCAGTTGTCGGTTTATTTCCCGGCTTCAGCAACCTCTTTGATTTGTTTGAGTGGGACTTGTACAAAGAGAGACTTAATATCTTTCTTATTTACATTTACTCATATTCCGCCATTTCATTTTCTTCAAAAAAGAAAAGAAAAGAAAAAAAAAAAAAAAAAAAAGACAACGGTGTTGTTGCCAACCATTTTGGGAGTATGGCTGCACAACTTAGCATTACAACAGGTTGCCAGTTTGGAAGCTATCTTGCTAACAACAAACCTTTCATTGGAGACATCTGAAAGTAGCATGAATGAATCCAATGTAAAGCCAATTCTTTGATGTTGGCTGCATAAATGCCAAGAAGCGGTTCTAAAATTAGAGGAACCAATAGACCCCTGCTCCAACTTTGCATCCCAGCAATACATGAAACTCCACGAGCAAGCCCCAACACGGTAAGACCTTTGACGACTAATCCCGGATTTGCCTGCTCAGGTGTTTTCCTTTTTTTACGATCCCGTGATCACCGAGTCCTTTGCAACGAACCCCGCTCAGTTCGTTGTTACCCACTCCGCCCACCCGCTGTATCTTGTCCAGCGTACTCTTCCTCTCCCATTTCCGCCCCTCGTGATTTGGCCAGTACCCGCCCCCATCTTCTAGTCTGGATCTCAAGTTTCCCAAGTACGCGCCCGACAGCCTCCATTGCCATGGCTCAAGCACCGCCCACATTCACCCCGGACAGCGAATTCGCCGAGCTGGAAACCCCTCGATGCCCTAACAATGGGAGTCTTTCGATAATGGCCATGGCTCGATTCGAGTTCGAGGCTGGTAGGGGTAACGATGGCACTAAAATCTTGATGATTGAGTGGGAGGATGACGATCTCACCCGATCTGCGATGGATGGGGCGTGGCATGTCTCATGGGCCGGCAAAACATCCCCGATGCCCACTGATGAAAGGCCGAGTGACAGTTTGCGCCGTTGCTACTTCTTGCTCCCGCCCAATACTACCATTCCTCCCGTTGTCACTCTGTCATATGAACCCAAGTCCTCGGCTTCAGGTTCGGCTGATAACACTGTGCCTGCCCCCACGAGGCCACAAGACATCTTCCGGCTTAATCCTCTCCCCGCCATTTTCCCTCCTGAATTGGGTGCGACGGGACGCACAGCTGGCAAGAAGGGCGTTCTGCATACCATCTGGGCAAAGAAACGCCTGCAGGTTCTTGAAAGCGAGATCGAGGAGGAATCACGCAACAATGTGGAAGGAATCGCGCTGCTCATGGCGATTCAGGAGAAGGAGTGGATTGAGTTGAACTTTGGAATAGGCTCACGCGCCGTCGACTCTGTTGCTAGTAGCCATGACTCGGCGAATTCATCCTCCGTGTATCCCGCCACACCGGTGTCACCTGTCAGCGGTAGGAAGCTGAGTGACAAACTCAAAGGACTGAAGCTGCAGACCAGCGAGAGGGATCTATCAGGAAGCAGTATGTATTCGTGCGCCAAGTTGCATGTTCCATAACTGACTAGGACTAGGTTCGCATGGAGCATCGCTTCTTTCCCCGCAGTCGCCTGATGTTGCAGTTTCCTCTTTCAGCTCGTTCCGTAACGTCGCTAATAGATACATACACTCTATGCCAACCCCTAACACCAACCCCACCCCTACTCCAAGCTCTCACATTAACCTCTCGGGCCCCGAATCGCTGAAACCCATTGCACTCTTCCCGCCTGACTTCCTCCAGGAGACTCAACAGGCCAGCGAGCCCACTGGGTTCACAGCAATGGGCGCAACGATGGGCGCAATCTCGCGCACTCCGAGCAATGATTCTGGCGAGGAATTGTTCGCCAAGGCACTGAGCCCACGCTCACCGGATCTCCCTCGGAGCCCATTCTCATTCCGTTGAACTTGTATTTCTCATGCATGATATGATACCACACCATCCTTCACGACTTGCGCAATGATTCCCCTTCTGCGTCGCCATACCATATGTCCACGTTACATGCATCTATGATCATTTGTCTATCTTTTCTGCTCTGTCCATACCATACGCCTCGAATGCATATCATGCCATATTCCTGCTTTTTCAAATGCTATCTTGTTGTTTTTTTTTGTATGAACGTGCCATACCACATCTATGATCACCATATGTACATAGACGAATGTCGGATTCCATGACCTCCTTGACAATTAAGAAAAAAAAGGCGTCTCCAATGATTTTCTTTGCGACAGCAATTCCCCGTCTGCGTAGGCTACTAGAGAAAAAAAATATATAGCTACCAAGCAAAACAAGTAATCGGGCGCACCATCCCACACCCAGTATCCATATCCCCAATACAAACACGAACAAAAGCAAGAGAAACCATCAGCTAGAATCAATTGGTCTTCTTACGCTGACTTCCCTGCCGACCGGACTTCCCAGCAGTCGCAGTCGACGAACCAGAAGCAGTAGCAGTAGCATCACCAGACTCCTTCTCACTCTTCTTGCTAGTAGCAAACGATTCATCCTCCTGCGCATCCTTGCGCTCGGCATACCACTGTCCAGCCTGCAGAACGAGGATACCAACAAGGACAAGGGCGAGGATAGTATTACTAGCGGAGAGGACCTTGAGCGAGTCCTCGCGACCGAGGATCTGCTCATTCTCGTCGGCGGAGGCAGCCAGCTCGGAACCGTATTGCCCGGCAGAGGCGAGACGCAGGCCCTTGACGATGTTGGCGATGTAGACTGTCACGCCACACATGTAGAGGACCAGCGAGGCGCCGTCGAAGAGCATGTTTGATTCGGAGGGCTTGTAGAGCTTGGTAAGGAGGCCGGCGAGGCCGAGGAAGATTACGATGTGCAGGATGCGTGGGATGAGCGGGGGCGAGGCGTGCAGGAAGCGGAGATGCGCTTCGAGATAGTCATAGTGTGCGGCGGGCGTCGTCACTGTGGACCACAGGATCGGGTAGTCGTAAGGGAACAGGGAGAAGATAATGCCCAGGAAGAAACAGGTTGCTGGTTGGGCAAGATTGGGTTAGTTTATTACAGTCTCGTGGCCTCTTTGCCGTTGGGATCCGGGGAAATTGGTGATGCGATGGACTTACGGCAGACAATGAGGAAAGTCGCGAACGACCCGCTTTTGAAGGCCATTGTGAGAGTTTGAAAAAGCAGATGAGATTATTTTGAAGGGAAAAGAAGATGACCAGGGGCAAGGCTGATGTCCTCCAGGTATCGCTAAGCGGGTGCCAAGCCCGCGGCCGGGAGATAAGGATGTTTTTACAAATTGAAGTCCGAGCATTTGATGAGATTGGAAAATTGGATCATTTGATCATTGAATGATTTGATATTTGATATGAGACTTGAGAATTGATTTTGATAAATAAGTGTATGGTACAGATTTCAACGCCTTTAGCGCCGTTTCATAAATGATGCGAACAATGGTATCTTCCAGAATATCCCGTAAATGCAAATGTACATAACAATATCATCGCTGGTATCGAGGCAACGACTCGTCTGCATGTGCCGTCCCACCGACCAGCTGGTCGTCCTCATCGAAGACTGGCGCACTGGGCCCAGCGCAGGGTTCCTGGCTACTGGGCTCATCTTCAGGTGCACTTGCCTGCTCCTGGAGTCGATGACGCTCAAGCTCTTGTTTATCGTCGGCTGATACACGTGGCTCACTGGGCCCAACGCCGTTGGCAACGACAGTCTGTAGGGATTCCGCAGAGCGGACAGCATGCGGCCCGCCGTTTGTATCTGGTGAAGGCACATGCTGGTAGTCTTGAAGATGATGATCATCTGGCAAAACCGGCGCGGTCGGGACCTCCGTTGGTACTGTAGATGGCCCTGCCTCATCTTCGTCGGGCGGTTGACTAGGTAAGAGAGCTTCTTCGTGACGTCGTACCCGTGTTTTCTCGTCAACGGGCTCCTCAACCTCTGGAGGCGCAACCATAGGGTCCATTGGTTGGAAATTTTCAGTGTATTCTTCAGGATACTCTGCCCAATCCGTCTCCTCGGGGGAATACTCCTGTGTCCCATATTCGCCATGAGAATTAGGCATTGGACTCGCCTCTGGCCACTCCTCCCCATCAACGGGGTTAAGTAGAATTGCAGATGCAGGAGGTGCCGTTTGTGACGTGGTCGATTCACCAGCCGTGGATGATGTACGTTTCGTCGTTTTCCCACGTTGTGAATCACGCGTCCCAACCACAACTTCAAAGGCCACCGAGATTACGCCTTTTTCACGGCGGATTGCGTCCGTGTCAAGGATGTTGCCGGCCCAGTTGGCAGTAACGCCGCTCGAATCGGCTGGATTGAGGACCTGCCCGCTGGGCGAAAATGTAGTACCACCGGAGACCATGTTGAAACGCGGGATGAAGCGATCTGGTGAAGTGATTTTCCCCCGTAGGTCCGTTACAACTTCCACATAGTACCGAAAATTGATCATGGCTCCCGGTACTCGTGTGATAGTTGGAAATGCGTCTTCGGGTATTCGGATGGAAGTCTTTACAATTGCAGTCATAGTACTTGGATCAACGATCAGCGGCGCGAATGTCTGCGACAAATCTTTGCGAAAAGTGCTGCTTGTCCGACTTGTTCCCAAGGTAAGTCCTCCAAGTCCCGTCCGTGATCGCGGATAACAGTCTTCGTATACCGGCTTTTTCCCGGCCACCGTAGTGCCGATAGGAATTGCCGGATGAAGATCAATGCGACCTTGGCGGTATAGTGTGACCATGATTCCATGCGCACTGCGCACTTGTTTACAATGGTTGATCGTGACTGTGATGGGTAGGGTATCGCCGGGGAGCACGCCGGCGCGCAGAAGCTCGGCCTTTGCGGTGATGGTTTTATCTGACATAGACGGGGTCGCACTGCGACTCTCGCTATTTTGTCCTGTACTTGCGGATGAACTGGGATCGCTGGCGATTCGAAAGCTTTGGCTGCTTTCGCTAGGCCGGCTGGATGAGCTGACATTGCTTGGTGAGGGGCTCAGCGGTGGTCTGGTATCTACAGATGGTGCCGCACCACTAATAGGGGTATCGACTGAGGATGTGTCCGGCGCTGCGGTTGCGTCGGAATTTGTTGATTTGGCTTTTCCCTTCGGTTTTGAGCGCCTTGATACCGGCTCCAATGTAACTATACGGGCCCTGGGTGCAGGGAAGGGTGCGATGTCGATGTTTTCTAGAAGATTGACTCGTCTTCGGCATGTGAGTGTAGGGTTCATGGTAGTTGGTCGGGTAAGGGTAGAGGTAAGTGAGTAGCCGATGGTTCCGCGTTCAAACTGCAGTTGCCCATTTGATTAGCATATTTGGATAAAATAAGGGGGTTGCATCGGCAAACGCACATTTATGCTGCTGGGAAGCGCATAAGGAGGAAGCCCCATTTCAAAGCGAAACTTGTAAATGCCTTCCTTCAAGCGTCCATCGCCACAGAGAACAACCTCATCCTCAAACAAGGTTGCTAGCCCATTGCCCAAGTATTCTGCGCCTCGTCGGCCTCGCCCGGGTCCTAAGAATCCCAAGTCGGGGGTCGCTTCTCCTGCCGGGATCGCATTCTTGAACACCTTGACATAGCCATGGAGACATACGACGATATGCGTGATGCGAACGGGTCGTACAACGGTCACAACGACGGTGCCTTTGATGATATCACCGGGGAAGTAGGAGCGCCATGGGTCGTCCGGGTCGATATAGAAGTCGGCGATGCCTCGATTTCGTTGACCGAGTGGGGAGCGAAACTTGGACAGGAGAGAGTTGCGATTCCGACTGGCCGGCAACGTGGGTTGGGTTGGAGGGTTAGCGGACATGACACACAGTCGCCGTTTACTGCATCTATACAAGACAACGTGGGCAGATGTGAGAGGGATGGGGATGATAAAAGTGTAACCGCTTTGGCACCGACCGGACAGAGACGCCGGTATTATCTGGAGCAGCACGGAATGGCGGGGGATGGTCGGACAGACCAGTAGGCAGTCAGCCTACGTGAAGGAATCCAATCAAGCGACACAATAAGTCTTAGTGCTTTTGTCGAAGGGTCTGGCGTGCAGGACCAATGCACTGGGCACGATCTGATTTCCAAACGTCCACGGAATGTATCCTTGTCCACGCGCAAGAGGTTCCCCGGGTCCAAAGAAAGGAATGGGGGTATTATGATCGAGTGCCACTACACCACATTGTTTCTTGTGGCATCGAAGCGCGAGGCAGGATTTCGACAGTACCCCCCGCCAGGAACTCGCAGCGTATCGGGATACAGGGTCAGGTCGTCAGATAAGGGAGTGGATATTGCCGGTAAGAATAAAGCACTTGAATGGGGGCCAATAAGTCAGTATCACGAGATACTGTGCTGCAGTCGGGAGTCTAGAACGGGGGTCGGGGGGGTCGGAGACCGGGAGAGAGGGAAAGGCGTAACTGGAGATGGCGCGAGATCCGGAGGAATGTGGGACTCAAAAGCGCACGAGCCAATGTTGGGAGATAATGAGCTAGTCAAAAAGGGGGGGGGGAATAGAAGAGGAGCGATGCAATAAAGAGATGAAGAGAGAGAGGGAGAGTCGGGGGTTCGCGATAAGCCTCCGAGGCGGAGAAACGAAGATGGATGTTCGCGTGTCGCACGGTCAAGCTTCTCTTGGTACTCAAGTGGCTTGGTATTTTTTTTGGACTTCTCCCCTTTTTTTTTCTAGGCAATTTCATGGATTATCACTTGATTTTTAATAGAGGTCAGTCAAAAATAATAATAATAATGAATTTAGTTTCGTGTTTCACATAAATTCCCCAAGGTTGCCATGTGCTAAGCAAACCTAAGCTTTTTCTTTTCTTCCATCTTTATCCTAGTCCTAGTCCTATAGTCCTATAGTTCACAAAGACCCTCTTCGTCCACGTACTCATCTCCATAACATTCTCGTAAGACACCCTCGATGATTTGTCGATCCCCACTTGCCAATTTGCGTAAATACTCCTCCAGGATGTAAATATTATCTGTCCACTGCAGTGCTTGCTGTCGGAACCCCGCTAACTCCTCCTGGACCTGCTTGACACCCTTCAGCGAATTGAGGGGTCCGGGGAGTTGGGCCTCTGTAGTCCGTACCCGATCAATTTCCATTTGGAGTTCGGCTTTTTTGGCCATGAGGGAACCCCTTTCATGCGCCTCATCCGTCTCCTCCGCTCGACGCATGATCTCAGCGGCCAAAGCCGCTTCTGCGTCGGTGTGAGATTTTCGGACTTTCTCCACTTCCATGGTCATTCGGCCTAATTGGCGCTCTTGTGCATGCTTTTCGTCGCTGATGAAACTCCAGTACCAGTTTCCACTGCCGATCTTCTCAACTCGTAGTTGACCCTCATCGGTCAAAGCTTGGATGTATTCCTTGACCTGGATGCCATTGATGGATGCAACCGAGGGTAGCGTCTTCTCGAGATCTTTGAGCGTATGACAGGTTCCAGTGGCGCGGAGATGAGTCAAAATTAAATTTTGTTTCTCGCTTTTGGTTAATTTGGGCTAGTGGTGTGTCAGTAGCCCCATTTAAATGATCCTGAGCCCTGTCCAGGTGGAATACGCCAAAGCCACGTACCATCTTGCACGGACTGTCAAATAAGTTCAAAAAAGCTTATCAATGCAGCGGTCACCCATTGGACAAGTATGAGGCAGCTAAGCATTGGTGGAGGCGCAATGATGAGTTCAAATTCAGCGGTTCCCTCAGCTCTGGAGGGAAAGGTTCTTACCTGTCACACTACACATGGAAACCCCGTGCCTCAGACAAAGCTCGTCTTCCATTTGACGCTTACCTTTCCTATTTTCCAGGATTTCTCAGAATGGTTTTTTCTTTTATGTGAACACATGGTAAAATTATGAATGTAGAGACTACTAACCCTGTTCAAGATAGCCTTGTTGGGAGCCAGCACACTAGATTTACTTAAGGCTAGATAAAATCCGACTTAATATCTATTCCCTGGGAACCCAGCCAATTCCTGGAAGCCTCAATTCCTGGAAGACCCTACTTGGGTTAGACATGCAAGTTAGACAAGATTCTGCTGCAACGGAAACGGAATCTCGTAACAGGATCCCGCCATGACGCGAGCAATAATTAAACCGAAGCTGCTGTAGCATGCACAGCATACCCAAGATTGTGCTTTGACTCGGCGAGGCATTCGGCGAGGGCTCTCGACACACCCCTGCACACCCCTGCTAGTCGGCTAAATATTGGTTAAATCAAAGCACGTTCTCTCCCCTGAGGTCAAACTCTGTGTACACAAAGCTCCATTAAAGACTTTCGTGTAATGGGAGGCACACAGGAAGGCGCATCAAAATTATTGTCTTACACATCAAAGTCTGGCTTTTGTCTCTCTGCGTGCCATAAAGCGGTGGCAGGGACTGGGATATGTGCCGATACCATGTGCAGCGTGGCTGTGCCACGGCAGTACATGGGGTGACTTGATTCTTTTTCAAGGGTTTTAGCCGAAGCTTCGCAAGATCATGCGTGGCTTGACACAGCTGCAGGCATCAAAAGTCCCCGAGTGGAGTCGACCGCGGAGAAATGGATGTAACGTGAAAATAAATTTCAAACGCCATCTCATCCAGTCATCGTCTTTCATCAATCTCGGTGTCAAAATCGGTTGTAACAGAAACAGAACGAGCCAATTTGCGTCGTTTTGATCTCTGACGGACGATGCTGTTTGCTCGTTTCCTTCGCGCTGCTCGTGCTGCTGATTTAGTTGTGGCGTCGCTCTCGAGGCCCGTCTTATCGTCCTCTTCCTCCGACAGTTCTTGTCCTTCAACCAGGGCTAGGTCTCCGGTTTCACCCAGTTCCTCCTTGGCCATCTCTTCGACCAGGATCCCCAATGCAAGCAATGCGGTCTCATCCATAGTCTGGTGGTCATCTTTGCCGTTGTCTGCCGTGGCGTATTCATAGTAGTCGGCTGCATAGGCATGTATTGTCTCAAGGAGGTCGGAGTTCGGGAGAGCTTGATCAGAGGGAAGATTCTCATGCGCAAAGTAGATTTTCTCCTCGATTGATTCTGCTGGAATATTCTGTTTGCGATAGAGAAGTTCCTCTGGACGCAAACTTCGAGCTCCTGCGGTTGTGTCGCGGTATTGAGAAGCAACTGTACGGGGAGCGTTGACACCGCGGGGGTTGACACGACCTGTATATAATTAGATTTCGTTTGCCTGGTATAGCTTTGCGAGCTTGGAGAACATACCAGCTATCGCATCATAGACGTTGGCGCGGCGTCTCATGTGCCTTGAAGGCTTATCGTCCAGTGCTTCCTCCTTATCTTCGACTGGCTCGACAAAACTGTCTTCATCCAAGTCAAGTGACCTAGCAACAGACATACTTTAGGTTTGCCAGGAAGACCAGTCAAGGTTTGGCAAATCAAACAGTGATGTGCAGCGGGTAGTGAATGAAGATCGAGGATCTCGAAGCTACCAAATTCGATAAATGCGCCGGTCCAACTTTAATCCGGTGAAGCATAGCATCATCCAGTGCTCTCGACTTCTCCATGCAAAAGCACCAGCGCTGATGAATGAATGAATTCCTATCTCCTCAACAGAGCCCTTGGGTCTGTAACTCCAAATGAATTTCATGTTGCTCAAACAACCCGGCTAGTGCACAACCTTGAGCCCGCGCCGGGCATACGGTTCTCCAGCCGCAGAGCAGCTGCGCCATCGGACCAGTCCGAAGACGATGTGGCGCCTTTAGATCAAGAGCTAGGTGTTACGGCGGAGGTATTTGCTCACAAGTCCGGTGTGAACTGTCTGGCCGTCGATCAGTTTGAGGGCCGATAGTGCGTGTGCAACCACTTAGCATCCAACAGTTGCCAATCTAACATGAGGGTAGTATGATATCGGGAGGTGCCGATCCATCGATTCACCTCTGGGACCTTGAATCAAGAGGCTCAGAACTCGAACATGTTCATCAATCCTGCGCGTCCGTCAGCAAATCCTCTCACCCCGACGCGCATACACATGCGATTACCTCCCTCTCGATCTACCCGTTCGATCCCGTCCCATCAACGATCTTCTCGACGGCACACGATGGTACATTAAAACTGTCGGCACTACAATCGCCCTCTATCACCCCCATCCACACATTCAGCCTGGACTGTACACCATATTCACACTCGTTCTCCTCTCAGCCTGGGTCAACACTGCTCGTCGCAGTAGGCACGTCTGAGCGGTCGGTCCGACTAGTAGACCTACGATCTGGACTATCGACACAGGGTCTACCAGGACATAATGGTGCAGTCTTATCAGTAGAATGGGCACCTCATCGGCCGCATCTCCTAGCCTCTGCATCGGTCGACAACCGAGTAATCATATTCGATGTACGTCGCGGAGGTCACAATTCTGCCATCGCTACCCTGGACATGGACGATCCAGTGGGACTGGTGGCCCCAGGAACTGGATCTGTGCCGGTCTCATACGAGAGTCGTCCCGCCTTCTCCCGGCATGCGCGTGCGCACAACGGACCTGTGACCGGAGTACGGTGGACCTCTAATGGTAGTCACATCGTGACGACGGGGCAGGATTCCCGGATTCGAGTATGGGACTCCGCAACTGGCGCCAATACACTTGTCCATTTCGGCCCTCGGGTCCGTAATAGCTCTTCCTCGCACCTGGCTGAACGGACACCCTTAATCGTGCCGAGAGGCTCCATGAATCCAGGACATGAAACACTACTGTGGCCGAATTTCAATGAGCAGGATGATCGTGGTGAGATTTTTATGTTTGAGCTCCGCGAGGGAACACTCGTTAAGCGTCTCCGCGTTCCAGGTCTCATGGCTGGTTCGCAGAATCTCCGTGGCCGGTCGAGTGCTTTGAGCGCTGGGCGTATCAATGACCTTGTCTGGCGGGGGAACGGTGCCTCGGGAGAGGGGATAGAGCTGTTCTCTGCGCATGGCGATGGAACGATCCGGACCTGGGTGTCTCACGAACCGGACGGCGAACCCACCGAAACCGAGGAAGCAGCTCAGGCCGATCGGAAGAGGAAGCGAGATGTTCTGGATGAGGTCTATCGGGGATTTCTCGCGCCTGATCAGCCTGGACTACGAATCTAAAACGATTGAATAGCCATACTCTACGAAGGAAGTTTAATACGATATTTCTGAATAGTGTATTGGATTGTTTTACATCTGACAAATGCTTATAACATCATAGACCAGATAGCGCGGGGTCAAAGAAAACCAGCCATCATTTCGAAAAGCTGAAAAGGTCACATCAATAATTGAGCAGGCACTCTACTCCTCCTGATAGCGCTCAATCACACTCCGGCCATACTTAGCATGCTTGAAATCGCGAGTATCACCATGGCCAGCGTGGTGATTAGGGCCCATGTAGGAACGCTTGGCCTCGACGCCGGCCGGCATGGAGTTGCCCGTGCCGCTAATGACATCGCCAGCCTCGCCCACATCCCGGGTCGAGCGTGGCAAGTCGGTAGTGTTGTCAGCAGCCGTCGCTGTTGTGGGCTTGGCGATGCCTTCGTTGTCGAAACCAAAGTTCTCAGCACGCTGGTCTGGGCGTGGCACTGAGGGAATGGTATTCATCCTGCCGGCATCATTGGGCATGGTCGTGCCTTGAGGGGCCATTTCGGAGAGAGTGCCGCCTTGGTGGGGGTCTTGCTGAACCATTTTAGTGGTGAAAGTGGTTGTTGGATTTGAAACGGTTTGCTGTCCAGTGGAAGTTGGGATAATGAGAGCTGGATGAAGAACTTGGGTTAGGACAGCGTGGTTGGATCCAACGCGACCGGCCTACACTGGTACTCTCTTATATTCCGCTCTGAGGTCCTGTGCTGCTGGCGCTGATGTCACAGCATTGGACGTTGCCTACATGGAGGGATGATGGGCAATGATATCACATGGTATTGATTGGTTGTTCATATTAACCACATATTAACCACATAGCAAACGTATAACAAAGCAAGTAGATGCCGTCAGTTCATATGCAATATCGGAAATTATTGGACATCGAGAGTCAAATTACCTGGAATTCAAGTGGGTTCAATGTTTTACTGTACTTTCAGATTGGGAATTCGCGGTGGCGGAACCAAATGCTCAGTTGTTGTCAAGGTAATCTGGCCACCCGACTGGAGTCTAGATGTTCGGGATCACGAACCACAAATGAGATCTTTGGTGAGATTGAAAGTTTCATCAACGATGCATGTAATTCTACGATGTACGGCGAGTAAAGTGACAGTCAGCGATGGTATTTTAACGAGTTTGTTCTGAACTGTTACAGCGGAGGTGAGCTAAACGTGGGAAGAAATGGAAGTATTTAGTACTGTAAACTTATAACATTCTTAAGGAAACATCGATCATTAAAGTGCGGTCAAATGGTTAAGGTACAAACGGGTTGTACAAAAGGGATTGTTTTGAAGAAAACAGAAATGGCAGATGCCATAACGAGTGACAAGAAACGAATGATACACCAAACACCTAAATCTAATCCGGAACAACCTATAGGATGAAGGCGAGGACACCCATGACGGCGACGGCGGCGGAGACAAGGCCGCCAGACAGGCGAGGGGCGCCACCTTCGAACATGACTCCATTAGAGACAGAAGCCGACGCAGAGGAAGAAGGAGAAGCCTTGTGCTCGGCGGAGACGCCACTAGGGATCATCTGGCCGATGCTGTTGGACGGAGTAGGCTGGGAGAAGGCACCGTACGAGGCAGGGGTAGCCTCGGGCACTTTAACAGCGATCTTCGAGTACGACGTAGACTGGGAAGCATAGTCGTAAGGAGCGGGAGCTGAGGCAGAGTAGGAATTGACTCCGGAGGAGTACAGGGGGTAGCTGCCAGATGCGGCTCCACTGGAAGGCTGGGGGAAACTGCCGTACGGGGCGGCTCCAGTGGAGGACTGTGGGAAGCTAGCGTAGGGGTCAGCCCCAACGGATTTCTGAGAGCTGCCGGATGGATCGGCCCCGGTGGAAGGCTGGGGGAAGCTGCCGTATGGGGCTGATCCGGTGGAAGGCTGGGGGAAGCTGCCGTATGGGGCTGATCCGGTGGAAGGCTGGGGGAAGCTGCCGTATGGGGCTGATCCGGTGGAGGGCTGTGGGAAGCTGCCGTATGCGGCTCCACTGGAAGGCTGGGGGAAGCTGCCATATTGATCGGCTCCAGTGGAGGACTGGGGGAAACTGCCATATTGGTCGGCTCCAGTGGAAAGCTGGGGGAAGCTAGCGGAAGAGTCAGCCTCGCCGGAGGGCTGGGCCCAGCCTGGGTAGACAGCGCTAGAGTCGGGTGTGGAAGTGGCCATGGGAACATGGGCCGGGATCAGGCCATCCGTGGTGGTGAGGGAGTACGGGGGATACACAGTAGCAGCGCCGGAATGAGCGGGAGCGGAGGGAGCGTAGGCATCGGCTCCAGCGGGATGGTGGGGAGCGTCGCTAGGGATTGCATTGTGCTCGACTGCCGGGGCGGACTCATAGGCCACATGTGTTGCCTCAGCAGTATGGTACTGAGTCTTAGTCACTGTGTGAACAACCTCGTGGGCCTGCACAGCGCACTGAGGGGCCTCAACTGTTTCCTCCCGGGTGTACTCGGGAGGACCGCCAGGGTGGACGTGAGTGAACTCACCCTTGATAGCGTGGTTGTCCTCATTGTGCTCGTTCACATCGCTGCTCGCATCAATGTCGGTGGGAGTCGAGTAGGCACCGTCACCGTCGTTCCCAGAAGGACCCCCAATACCGGTACCGCCGGCAGAGCTGGGGTCGGGGGTCGGAGCGTACGCACGGCGTCCAAAGGCTATGCTTCCAGCAGCCGGTCCGTTGTTGTTGTTTTTCAACTCAGTGAGCTCGGACTCGAATGTAGCGTGGGGCTCATAGTGAGGCTTGTAGCTAGGGCTGTAGTGAGGAGCGTAGTGAGGTTCCGGGTGGTTCTCGGTGTGGGGCTCGGGGTGGTTCTCAAAGTGAGGCTCCGGGTGAGGCTCGTAGTGAGGCTCGGAGTGAGGCTCATAGTGCGACTCGGAGTGAGGCTCGAAGTGGGACTCGGGGTGAGGCTCGAAGTGGGACTCAGGGTGAGGCTCGAAGTGAGACTCCTGGCCGCCAGGGATCCCACGGCGACCAAATGCAATGCTCCCAGCGGAAGGACCGTTGTTGTTGTTCTTCAACGCAGTGATCTCCTGCTCTAGGGTAGTGTGAGGTTCGTAGTGGGGCTCGTAGCTAGGGCTGTAGTGAGGAGCGTAGTGAGGCTCGGGGTGGTTCTCAGTGTGGGGCTCGGGGTGGTTCTCAAAGTGAGGCTCCGGGTGAGGCTCGTAGTGAGGCTCGGAGTGAGGCTCATAGTGCGACTCGGAGTGAGGCTCGAAGTGGGACTCGGGGTGAGGCTCGAAGTGGGACTCAGGGTGAGGCTCGAAGTGAGACTCGTGGCCGCCAGGGACCCCACGGCGACCAAATGCAATGCTCCCAGCGGAAGGACCGTTGTTGTTGTTCTTCAATGAAGTGATCTCATGGTCTACGGTAGTGTGGGGTTCGTAATGAGGCTCGTAGCTAGGGCTGTAGTGAGGCTCATAGTGAGGTTCCGGGTGGTTCTCTGTGTGGGGCTCGGGGTGGTTCTCAAAGTGAGGCTCCGGGTGAGGCTCGTAGTGAGGTTCGGAGTGGGGGTGATAGTGCGACTCGGTGTGAGGCTCGAAGTGGGACTCTGGGTGAGGCTCAAAGTGGGACTCTGGGTGAGGCTCAAAGTGACCAGCGGGATGGCCACCAGGGCCGAGGTTCTCGGAGCGACGGAAGGGAGCAAAGGGGTGAGCATAGATATCCTCATGCTTCAGACCGATGGAGTGGTCATCCTCGTTGTGCTCACTGACATCAGTGTCAGTCTCAATGTTAGTGGGAGCACTGAAGCTCTGGCCACCATCGTTGCCAGAGGGGCCACCAATAGCAGTGCCACCAGCGTGAGGCCCGAAGCGCTTCTCGAAGCCACCAGGATTGTCGCCGCCACTGAAGTCAGGGGGAGGGTGGACATGCTTGTTCTTGATATCGATGGAGTGGTCATCCGTGTTTTCATCTTCAACCTCGGTGTTGAAGACACCAGTCACAGACATATCGAAGCTCTGGCCCTCATCATTGCCGGAAGGGCCACCGATGGCAGTTCCACCTGGAGCACCACGCTTTTCCTTTCTAAAAGGTCCCGCTCCAGGGGCCTGGGGATGCTCCGCCCCTGGGTGGCCAAAGTGCACAGGCACCACCGGAGGGCGAGGGTACACATCAGTGTGCTTCAGCTTGATCGAGTGGTCATCCTTGCTCCACTCGTCGACCTTGGTATCGGTCTTGATACTAGCGGAGTAAGGGCTGACGAAGCCACCGTCGTTATCATCGCCAGAAGGTCCACCAATGGCGGTACCACCACCCTGAGGATGGAAGCCATGCTCGTTGTTGCCAGAAGGTCCACCAATGGCGGTGCCACCAGCCTGAGGATGGAAGTCATGCTCGTTCTGTACGTCGAATTAGCTCAACACTCACGGTACATCCAGAGCAATGCAACCTACACGTTCAGCAAACCTGGCCTGGGCAGCAACTGCGAGCAGTGCCACCGGGATTCCGCCGATCAAACCCTTCATGACTGCGGCGCTTGGGAGATATTACTGTAATAAGGGCGAATGCTTTTGCGTGTAGGAGTTAAAAGAGTGACTGCAAGCGAGTGCTACAGGAGCAGGATAAAAAAATGGCTCGATTGATAGAATATTCTCGCTTAGAAACAATGAATAGTAATCCAGCTGAAGGAGATGTTCAGACCTTTAGTAGTTTCTGCGCATTCATGATCGCCAGCTGAACAAGCAGGTGGGAATGCTGTTGCATCACCAGGGACTACACCTTGACTTGAAGCTAAGGCGTAGGTAATACCCTCAGAATGTCGCCAAGAATGAAAAACAACACCAACAGGTGAGAAAATCCCCCTCGATCCTGGTCAGATCGTAAACAGTGGCCCTGAAATCCCTAGAAAGGTGGTGATATTGCATTCCGCGGGATGAGAGGGATAGATCTACTTACCAGCTGGGTAGGAACCGCGGCATTCAGACATCAAGCAAGCCCCTTGTCTGGCCAGGAACATTTTGCTTGACAAATTTGCACAACACGATCGGAAGTGATGCCATTGTCATGTGCGACTCCTCCCAAACAGCTGAAGTATGGACGATCTTAGTACACACTGTCCTTGACTTGGGACGGGCTGAGGCTAGAACACCCCGCGACCACACAACATAGGATTGCCAGTAATGTCAAGTAAATGACTGAGATCCATATGGCCATTTATGCACCACATAGGTCTCAAGAATCGTCCACGTTACAATAGCAATGCCTACGCAGTAGTGACTCTGAGCCTGGTAGCATTTACGCAGGGTCACGCGGAATCTGTACAGTGCTCACTAATTATCCAATTTACTGAAAACCATCACATGCATCAATGCGTTGGTCGCTACTCCCGCTCTCAACAACAGTGTTGAAGCGAAGGAATGTGTCCCGTCTTCGACATTCAAATCCCACCGCCCTCACTGAAGAGGACACAGAGGGGAAACGAACTTCCTATCGAGGATCATCTATCTCCTGAGCCGATCAGTCCCGAAAGACCGAAGGCAACACATCGTCGTGGGGTTGTCGTAAGACAGGACAATGGTCGTGGCAGGCTCAGTTGCTTTTTTTCGATGAAAAAGAAAAGAAAAAAGAAGAAGGGGCCGAAAAGTTTGCGGTCTTTTATAGCACTAGTGGGGGTCACGGATCGGATTTACAATATTCCACTCGGCGCCGAGGTCGGTCCGACCCGGTTTACGTTGTGTCCTGCAATTTAAGGCTTCACATCACACCTCATGCAGTCGTATTCAAATAAACAAGGGGGGGGAAAGCAATAACTTGGGATATGATACAGCAGTTCCAGACAGCTCCATGCCATGTCCAATTCAATACCCGCCAGATCCTAATCAAGCCGGAATATGACATGTCACCGCTGTGGACGAGTGGGATAGCCTCCAATTAAGAATAACAAATGCTCTCTCTCTCCCCAAACTCCAGCTCCCCATAGCATCTTCAAAAAGGAAGAAAGAAACAAAAAAGGCTGACCTAGTGTACGTGGGAGAAGTCGATGTTATGTATCACAACGAATGGCGATGGGGTTGCTTCTCGCTCCGAATCAAAAATGATAAAATGGTAGCCGGAACCTTGTATGTCCCGTTAGCTATGAATCCAAGCCAGTGGGTGAAGTGACTCGAAGAACTCACTTATCCGCCAGCTGCCGTTTTTTCGGCACTGGCTTTCCAACCTGCTCCTCCCACCGCTGCAGTGATGCCCAATGCAATCGCAATCATAGTCCCCACTGTCACCACAGCCACAACTGCCTTCAGTGCCATTCGTTGTTTATTACTCAACGTCTGCAACCATGTCAATGGTTTATTCTCTTCCTCCCACAACTTCGATCGGCGGGGACTATCGGTTCGGCAACTCGCGTATGGGCCCATGCTTTCCAGGTCTCTTAGTTGGCTTCTCCGATTGGAATTCTTCGTTTCATAGGTGAGTTGTTCGTACGAGATAGTCGGATTTGAATGATGATAAAAAGGCGAGCATGGCTTTGCACCGATCGATGGATCAAACTCCTGACTATGAGCCCCAGGCGAAGATGTAATGGAACATCGTGGGGGCGCGATATCAGGCGTGGTTGGAGTTTTTTCATCGGTGGTTTTGATCGATGCAGCCACCTGGGCCCCAATCACCCCAAGTCCGTGTAAACTCATAGCGATGTGCCAATGTGACTAGAGGGGAGGACAGCGAATTCCCAGATCAAAAGATCTTGGAGAATGACCTCTTCAGGCTTTTTCGCTTGGGCTTGGATCGTTGTAGAGGTCGTTGTTCTTTGACCTTGGGTGCTGGTGTTGTGATTGCCTCAACGGGAATGGCGACAGTCGAGACACCGCCGTACATAAACAATGCCGTATCAACCTGGAATGCGCTCCAAGTCCAGGCGGACCGCGGCAGTTTCATCACTCAGACTGATCACAATAAGAAATAGAATTATATGAAGTAGTGGAGGGGCGAATGTGTGCCCGTCAAAAGGATAGTTTGGTATAAATGGAATGAGTGGTGGTTTCCTCTTGAAGCGCGGTTTTGGGGCAACTTGACGGCAACGGCAGAGTTTGGATTTTCTTAAGGGAGTCCTCAGTATATTCGAGAACACCCTGTAGTGAAATGAATTGTTTCTCTCCGGATGCAAGGTCTTCATTGGCTCGAGGGCTGTTTTTCACCCCTAGATTGGTCCCTCGGAGCATTCCCACACCCTTTATAATGTAAAGGATCTTCTCCTGCAGCAAAACCAACCCTACTATTGGTAAATATTTGCTTGAACAGCATTCTTATGGTCGATCATGCACTGCCCTGTTTCTTGTAACCCTTTGCCCACTTCAGTGGGCGGATTCTACCCTAGCATATGAAGGCAGTCTGTTCCGTGGTACATCTCTTTGGAACAGATTATGGGGCAACATGGATATATTCTAAATTGTGGTACCTCGATCATTCTATCTCGATATACATTGTAATCCACAGATCGTATGTTGTATGTAGATTACATCCTGAGTGTGCATACAGGCTGCACGACATTGTACAATTCGCACAAGCAAAGCTTGCTCCAGTAGAGCCTGTAATATAAATCGTACCTATAGTTGATTATTATATATATTCAAAAATTCTAGGCAAAACTTAAATCTTGTCTCGTATTATTAAGTCGATGTGTTCACGCGACTAGAGCTTACCTGGAAGCTAGAAATTTCCCATAATCGGCTACGACTAATTCGACCACCAAAAAAAGGTAGGTTTATTCAATGATATATAGAAGTGATGTTTAACTTCTTTGCCTATGCATTCTTCTATGATTAACATGTTGGGCGGTAACAAAAATATCTAATCTAGAATCATATATATCTTAACGTGGTTCTCGGCACAATTATATAACAGAATATAAGAACAAACCCCACGTTTGTCTAACTGGAATGCGTCTCAAAATCATGAGATTTGAAAGAGATATTGATCACATAAAGAGATATTTATTTATCGGTTCAGTCGAGGAATTGACATCTGCTTGCCTAAGAATCATGAAGTGTTTTCGAATAGCACTCGAATAGCGAAGAATATATAATATACTATCGCCCACCTACATCACGTTGATGCATAACAGAAAGACGTCAGCCAACTAAACATCTTACCGGACTTTAATCCGCCTACAACGTTTAACTATGGGGTTTCACACATCATGCAAATGTTTGGAGCAACACCAGCCAAGCATACCTCATGGTCGGACCAGCTAGTGTCTATAGTGACCTCGGGATGCAACCCAGGTCTGCTGTTAACTAACTACTAAATCAGTACTACTTACGAACGATGCGCTACATTACTTATTTCTAGCGTAACAAGTCTCCAGAACCAGGCCCTTCTCAACCTTGGAATTATCGCGACACGGTAATTAATAGACCGCAATGGTTTCCCAAATCGCCAAAATAATATATATAGATTAGATCAACATATTATAAGCCAATTATTCCAATTATTCCAATTATGGTCAATAGTAACAGAAGTTATTTCCAATATTCACACCAAGGAATATTAATGCGGAGCTGTCGGCGGGTACTACGAGATGCAATAGTCATCCTACGGCAATGGGAGAATATGGGGATGAGTATAACATGCAGAATTCCAGATTTATCGATCAAATAATATCCTCTATGGCAAAATATGCCATGCGTCCTAGCCCTCTCGTTGGATACTGCCTCACCGCAGGTATCACCGCCTCGATGTATGCTAATTTTAGTTTATATACTCACAAGAATGGCCTTGTAATGTCTTTTTAGATATCCTTTTTAAGTGTATATAAAGGCTGTAAAAAAAAGCATACCCTATACAAAGACTTTTCTATATATAGTATTGGATTATTTGATTTCAACTTCTCTTGTTCAAGCTGGCGTATTTTCTTCTATACGCAACACTCTATACCTTACTACTACACCCCCGTATAATAAGATGCCTAAAAATATAGCGAGTTAAGCGGATCTTATAATTATACAATACGAATCAAACCCTACAGTCATATCTAAAGGCGCTTATTTTCTAAGTTGGTCTTTCTAATAAGCAAATTATTACGATACTTGTGACTTCAGATAGAAGGCTAAGGCCGAACAAACCACTACTGGGGCCCCAAATACAAATTGTAGAATTTGAACAATTCCCTTCATTCAACATACGGTAGCAAATAAACTCAGTAATAATATATATTATATTATGCTTTAAATCTGTTGAGGCTGGTGCCTTGGGCTGATAGGACCCCCCTCCCCTTTTTTCCTACCACAAATTATCTATCAGTTCCCGTTCAAGCCAGGGCGGCCTGTTCGCCAATTTTTTATCTTTGTCTCGATTGCCTGAGTGGGCTTTGTGTTATTCCGATAGGATGAAACCTCAAGTGCAGTGGAGCTCGCCTCCTTCATGGGTATGGCAATTCTATTCAAATTAGTTTCAAATCTCGACGATGCAACCGAGACAGCTACTCACCGCAGGTACTTCGGAGGTTTTTGAAGGAGCATCGGTATTTGTT